CACCAGTAAACAAGCTTCGGCTTGCTTTCTTTCTTGTTTTAATTGTTTTTTTCCTATTGTTCCTATGGAAGCTTTATGATATACTTATATAGAAAACTTTTGGAAAAGTTTTAAAACAGTGGGACTAGTTTGCGTAGAAACGGGCTGACAGACGGACATGGCTAGTTCGACTCTCCTGGTGATGATCAAGAATATATAAACTTCATAGGGTCGGAAATGTCTCCTTCACTACCCTCTGCAAGGGTATAAACACCGGTTTTGAGGAAACTGAGGCAACGACACAAAAGCTACTTTCTTTTCAAGCAGGGCTCTCTGGACTATTCAAATTGTTAATTTAACAAGAAAGGAAATATACCCTTGCAGAATATAATGTACATTATATTCTCCAAAATTATTCATATGATGCATTCTTAATACTCATACAAAGTCCCAACTTCCTCACTTTATGGCATTTCCAATCGTTCAGTTATATGGCAGCTATAGGATATAGTCGGCCGATCCTTATGAAATTTGATAAGTCGGATTGATTGGCCAAATATAAAACCCATAGAAAATATCAACTTCCTAACTTTACAAACACCAAAGTTATTGCATTTCCGATCAATCAGTTATATGGCAGCTATAGGATATAGTCGGCCGATCCTTATGAAATTTGATAGGTCGGATTGATTGGCCAAATATAAAACCCATAGAAAATCCCAACTTCCTAACTTTACAAACACCAAAGTTATTGCATTTCCGATCAATCAGTTATATGGCAGCTATAGGATATAGTCGGCCGATCCTTATGAAATTTGATAGGTTGGATTGATTGGCCAAATATAAAACCCATAGATTTTTTTTTTTTTTTTTTATACTTTATTCTTATTTATTGGATCTTCTCTATTACTTAAGAGACTAACAATAAGTTTTCAAATCTTAATGATGTTACGTTAACTTATGTTATTAAAAAAGGGATGGGAAATCATTCCGCTGTAGACGGGAATGATAGCTTAGCCGGTTGAGTTGTCTGGCAAGCAGGTTTGGGTGATTTGATAATCTGGCTTCATATTTAATTTTTCTGGAAACAATTTCTTCTTTTACGGGATTTATATCCAGGTCTCTCTGGATGTTTGCATTGCGGATGTACCAGGGGGCTCCAGTTATTGTTCGTAGGGTCTTTGATTGTACTCTTTGAATAATTTCTATATTGCTGCTGCTTGCGTTTCCCCAGAGCTCGGAACCGTAGGTCCAGATCGGCTTTAAGCACGAGTTATACAGTAGTACTTTATATTCGAGTGGAAGGGGGAGCGGTAGTTCATGAGCCAGTGAAGGCTGCTGGCCTTTAGTTTTAAATGGGCCTTCTTTGCTTCTATATGCTTTCTCCAGGTAAGCCTCCTGTCTAGGTGTATGCCGAGATAGGTGACTTCGTCTGCTTGTGGAACCGGCTTGTTGTTTAGCGTCAGTGGTGGGCATTTCGACAAGTTTAGTGTAAATGTAATGTGCTTACACTTTTGCTCATTGACTTTGATACGCCAGTCTGCGAGCCATTTTTCTACAGCTACCAGGTGTTCTTTTAAATGGGCTGTAGCTGTTTTAGTGCATTTCGAGCGGCTGACAATGGCAGTGTCGTCAGCAAAGGTTGAGATGAGGGTCTGGCGGCTTGTTGGAATGTCTGCCGTGTAAAGGATGTCCAAGATTGGTCCAAGCACACTTCCTTGGGGTACTCCAGCTTCGATGTTACGGATGGTTGAAGTAAAGGTTTTACATCTCACGGTGAAAACTCTGTTTCTGAGGTATGACTCAAGCAACTTGTGAGTGTTTTCCGGTAGGAGGGTTTTGATTTTGTATACCAGACCGTCGATCCAGACGCGATCAAATGCCTGTGATACGTCCAGAAATAAGGCACTGCAATATTGCTTGTGTTCGAAAGCCGTGCGAATTTCAGATGTTAAGCGGTTTACCTGTTCGATAGTTCCATGCTTTTCCCTAAATCCGAATTGGTGCAGAGGGATCGTTCTGTTGTTTTGAAGATGTGTTACTAGATGAACAAGAAGCAGTTTTTCAAATAGCTTTGATAGACATGGGAGCAGACTGATGGGCCGGTACGAGGAAGGCTGGGATTTGTCTTTTCCTGGCTTCGGGATCATTGTAATGACAGACTTTTTCCATTGGTCAGGAAAGTAGCCCCATTTCAATATTGAGTTAAATAGATAATCCCAACTTCCTAACTCTACAAAGACCAAAGTTATTGCATTTCCGATCAATCAGTTTTATGGCAACTATAGGATATAGTTGGCCGATCCCTATGAAATTTGGTAGGTCGGATTGATTAACCAAATATAAAACCCATAGAAAATCCCAGCTTCCTTACTTTACATACATCAAAGTTATGGCATTTCCGATCAATCAGTTATATGGCAGCTATAGGATATAGTCGGTCGATCCCGGCCGTTCCGACATATATATTGCGTGCAAAGGAAAGAAGGGTGTGTGCAAAGTTTCAATTCGATAGCTTTAAAACTGAGAGACTAGTTTGCGTAGAAACAGACAGACGGACAGACGGACATGGCTATATCAACTCAGGAGGTGATCCTGATCCAGAATATATATACTTTATAGGGTCGGAGATGTCTCCTTCACTGCGTTGCACACTTTTGACCAACATTATAATACCCTCTGCAAGGGTATAAAAAGTAACTTCGTTGTTGTTTTACCCTTGCAGAGCGTATTATAATTTCAGACCAAAATTATAATACCCTCTACAAGGGTATGAAAAGTAACTTCGTTGTTTTTATACCCTTGCAGAGGGTATAATAATTTCAGTCAAAACTTTGCAACGCAGTGAAGGAGAGATTTCCGATCCTATAAAGTATATATATTCTTGATCAGCATCACCAGGAGAGTCGGACATGGTCTGTCCGTTCGTCCGTCTGTCCGTCCGTTCGTCTATTCGTCCGTCTGTCCGTCCGTCCGTCCATCCGTTTCTACGCAAATTAGTCCGTCAGTTCTAAAGCTATCTGCTTGAAACTTTCCCAAAAGTTGTCTTTTTATTGCAGGTAGTTTATAAGTCGGAACGAGCCGGATCGGGCGACTATATCATATAGCTCCCATTGAAACAATCGGAAAAAAATTTAAAAAGTATAACTTTGTTGTTTTTTGATTTTTGTTGTTCTTTGGGATTTGGTAATATTTAAATACTTTGGAATTACGATTCTAATTAAATTCCCATAAGAAAATACAAAAAAAAAATTATTTAACTGAGTTTCTATTTATCAGCTATGTAAGAAACGAGGTCCTAGCTAGCGATCTCCACATCCCCACGGTGAGAGAGCAGATCAACATGCATGCCGCTACAATGGCCGTCTACTAGCCAACTAGCAGAATCCTTGGCAAATCCAAATACCAGAAGAAGAGTGAAGCGTCGGCACCCTGGCGATCTTTGGGCCCGAGGACGTCATCAAACCCGCGTCTTCAGACAATAGTGTAGTACCGTCTCTGTTATAAAAGTTTTACATTTCTGTTATAGTTAGTTTAGTTTTGTCAAAATCAGACAACAATATCATATAGCTGCCATAGACACGGTGGCAAAATTCAGCGCAAAATCGACGTAATTGTTTTTAGTAATATAGGCATACAAATCGAAATGTTGTCGTTTTGTAATAACTGCAAGGGTATATAAACATCGGCTTGCCGAAGTTTGCTTCCTTTCTTGTTTATTTTTATTATATAGGTGCCATAGAAACGATCGATTTGTTGGAAACCCAAAATAGCTTTATTGTTTGAAAGCATTTACACAAAAATCCAAATATTGAATATTCAATTTTTGTAAAAGCTGCAAGGATATATAAAGTTGTAAGGATATCGAGTCGGAATCCCTGGAATACGCAAATACACTATTTTTTAGAAAAGTTGGCTTTACATATTATTTCCCTATGTCTATTCCTTTAAGAATATTGAAGAAATATTTCTTCAAATCATTACAAATCTTAAGTTATATAACCAAACCATTAAAACTGAAATCAAAAAAAAGTTACCCTCCAAAACCCTAAGAATATTGTTTGGGGTTGTAGGCCACAGATTTTTTTATACACGAGGATGACGTCTTTTGTGCCTGTTTCTGCAGCTTCCCGAACGTATAAGATGGCTTTAGAACAGACTTCGTCGACCTAAGCTTTTTTACCCTCGTCGTATAATGCTGTAGATCGCTTAGCCTCCCAGGCAAGCAACTTAATGCTTCCTGCATTTCTGTAATCCGTTGGTTGGTAAAATAAAAGACGTTTATTTACTGCAACTTGTGCGAAAGCCCGTTTTTTCGTGGCACTTATGCCTTTCTCACTATTGTCGTTGACGCCAACGATCCTTCGACCTTTGGAACCTGACCGGGTGCCTCGGTTGATTGTCTTGCTTTTTGTTGGCAGGATTAGCTTCTATAGACTTTCACGCTAGTTGATATCTCATGATATGCTAGCGATATCGAAGTCGGGTGTGCCCAAAATCCTCGTTTGTAGTGTGGTCTGTCTCAATGGGGTTGGTGAGCCCCAATGGTCCACGAGGTTGTCATTTGGGTGACCACCATTCGGGGTTGTTTGGTTAGCCGTCCCAGCACTGGTGGATGTCATTGCCTAATCGATGTCCCCCTTCTGGGTCTACTGGGCGCTGTGGTGTACCTAAGGTATTGGTAATCTTCTCTTTAATAGTGTCGGACTCTTGGTTAGTTTTGGGTCCCCCTCCAGACTGAGATGGGGGGATAGGCGAAAGGTATTATGTGGGGAAGGAAGACTACGGCGCAGTTACATGCTGAATGTGCGGTGCTATTTATTCCCGCTTGGTCTTTTAGTCTTAGTGGTTGCCAGTTTCTTCCAACCCGCTAGCTCAATACAGTAAAAGTGTTACGAATGAAGAAAGGCGTTTAATTTCAGTCGGGAACATGAAATAATCTTCCACCCACCACTCCTTTGTTAGTTAAACTAATTATCTGTTCATAGTAGTTTATGGGGAAACAAGATAATATAAATAGCTATTATTTATGGTTATTTTTATTATATATTGCTAAAGTTAATAATTAAAAATAGAAGGGACGATTGCAGACAAAATACAGAATCGAAAACCAGGTCCATCCTTGTGTGGCGTTTTAAATAAAAATATAAAAAAATCGAAGGCTACGGCTGTAGTATCGTATTGAACTTGCTTATGGCCTCGCCAACATATTTTTCCTTCTCCGCAAGTTCATATTTAAGCTGCGTACGCAATTGTTGTAGATTGGGCATTGTGCGACAGTCTCGAACATTAAGCAGTGTTCGGAAGATGTTCTCCCACATTTGTCGCTGAAAGTAACGTGGCACGGTTGTTTTCGGCATCCAAACGGTGCTCCCAGTTCTTGGCGCAACCTCCATGTAACGACCGAAAAGCAGCACATGCATAACGCTAACCAAGCCATATAAATCAAGCTGATAAGTCCACGGGCGCTGTGTTCGCATCTCAATACACTTAAACAGATCATCGTGGTGAACATAATTGAATGTCTGATTGTTTGGAAAGAGCTTGGTGTCAATAGACACACCAAAGTCAATCAGCTGCAGGCTTAATTCGTTTGGATCCGCACATAACCTGAAATAAAAGAATAATTCAATTTCGCCGTACAATAGTGGATTACTTTGCATAATGTGCTTACGGTCTCATAAGCAGGAAATTATCCGGCTTGATGTCGGCATGAATAATTCCCATAGCGTGTAAATGATCCACAATATCGAGCATCTGGCAGCTCAGATGCATTACCACATACTCGTCCAGATTCCTGTTGGTGACACTCTTTATCTTGTTGCAAACACCGATCAGTGAACCGTAGTCTGAAAACTCGGAGATGTATACGCTGGAATTGTTCCCTACCAGCGCATAATCAATATGTTGGTAGGCTGGAATCTGTGAAAAAAATTATGTTTTGAATTTATGTTTACCTGGTTATTAATTAAATGTCTATCAATGCTTACGATCTTTTTTTAATCTTACTTTGGAAAAATAATTTCAACTAAAATTTAAATTTGGATTTTAAAACATTTCATGGGATTTTTTTTTACAAAAATTTAAGATGGCATTTGATTACGCAGAAAAACAAAACTTTTCAAACAAATTTATTTAAAATACTAAGCAACTGTGTTAGCCTTTTCATTCAATCATTTAAAAAAAAGGGTGACAGACCACCATTTCTTGTAACCGCTTACCCACGAAAGTTGACTATGTCCATAATCGTTTCATGCAATGGTGTAGCAGCCCCGAACTAAAATTTGTCTTTAATAAACCCACCACAGATTATGCCCCTTCACTCAACAACATCAAAAATTAAAGTCGTTCGTTATTCCTGCACATTTGCCGATTTTAATGAAATAATTGCACTTTCTTCATCTCGTTGCACTGGTTTATTGTTAGTCATTTAAGAACTCATGAAATTCATAAATATGTATATATATCAATTGATTAAAATATAAATTTCAATGTAGAAGAATTGAAAAAATGATTTTTTTTGGACCGTAAAACCCATGCTATCCCTTAAGTATAAACTGTTGCAAGCAAGCCGGTGGTTCGAGGAGTGCACTAGAGTCAGCTAAGAAATGCAGGTGTCAGCGTTGTAAAAACGATAGTTTTGGACGAACGCCAATAATTTCTAAAAAATTGGTTTTCCTTGTTTTTAGGAACAAATTCTCGGCCAAATCCTAGAGAAACTACTTATATTTAAATATTATTTTTAAGCTCACCATTTGCTCACTGGTTAAACGGCTGTGAACCTCCAGACATATATAAAACTCCCAGTAGTTGGTTGGCCGTTCCTGCTTCAGGGCCACCTTCTTGCCGGATTTGATATGCTGTCCTACGTAAACCGATCCGTAGGCTCCTTTGCCTATCATCTTGCCCACCTCGAACTTCTCGTTGTGCACCTCCAGCTGGGAATTAGGATGCAGACGTTTAACGTGACCCACCAGGTGACAGTGGGGCAGCTTTTCGATGTACAGGGAAAAGTCGATGGATTCCAGTAGCGACCTAATGAGATCTACGTTGAAAGGGTTTTTGTTGGGGTCGGCCAGCGTTTCGTTCAACACCGACTGATCCACGCTGTTTTTGGGGTGGACAAACTGCTCCCGCGAAGGAGTTTTAAAATCAGACTGCGACCAGGAATGGTGCGACTGCTTTGGTGTCACTGGTGTTGTCTTGTAGTATATGCTTAGCTCCGCGGACTCAGCTTCTTCTAAAGGAAGAATTAACTCTGCAGGCGGTTGTAGCAGCGTAGAATTTTTGATCATACTAATATTGGTGGCAAACATCTCAGTGACAGCGTTTAGCTCAAAAAATTGGTCGGCTTGCTTACCACAACTTGATTTGTCATTAGCGGGATTTCCTGACATGGAATCTCTAGAGAACTTGGGCACCGTGGCAGTGCTTGTAAGATTAGTTGCGACAATAGGCGGTGGTGTTTGTGAAGGGCATCTGCTTATTTCAATGCAATCCTTCATGAACGAGGCAATCATATGGGATTGCCCATCAGTTTCTTGCTTGCCCGCTGACTGTACTGGCGGCTGCGTTTCTGGGAGCGTGTAGTCCAAGGCAAAGCTTGAGGCCACCGAAGCTACTGTTTTAGAAGCGGCTACCTCTGGCTGTGAGTCGTCGAGAAAGATTTCGAATTTCTTTTGCATAACTTCCGGTTTTGGCTTGGGCACTGTACCAAGCTGAGTTTCTGGCACAAAGGAAAGGTCGGTCATGATGGAATCCTCAAGCTTGCTGGTGCTGAGTGCAGTTCCCGGTTTCCTTGTGTCCAACGCAAAAGAGTTCATTGCGTCCTGGGTGCATTTCATCGACGTAAAAAGATCGGGGGTGGTCCGTTCGCATATGCGCTTTGGAGAGCCAAATATCGTTATCTTCGGCGGTGTCTTCCCAAACAATCCACACAAATCGTTTTCGTCTTCCGAAATAGAAAGCTTTGGAAGGGGTGAAGGTTTGTCATTAACCACCGAGCCGTGAGACAAAGAATCCTCCAACAGAAGGGTGGGCATACGTGGCATCGTTTCAGTTTTGTCTTCCTGGAAGCAGGCTAGAGGCCTGGGAATCGTTTCTGTCTTATCCTCCTGGAAGCGCAGGGACTTAAGCATCGGCAGGCTAGGGGCATTGGGTTCCCATAACTCGCGGCGGGAAAAGTTGTCACCACCATGATTCTCCGTCTCCGCGACGACTGCGGATAAACCAACCATGCGCTGCAGGCGCATTTGGCCAGGAGTGCTCTCTTCATTCTTGCTTATTACTTTGAAAACAGTGTGGGATCCGGGCGAAGACGAAGAGGTAATGGTAGACTTGGTGGTGGCGCAGCTGGTCGCCAAGCTTTGAGTGCCATGCTCAGAGGTCTCCAGTATGGTGGAAAGCTGCTTTCGCAACATGGGAGAACATGGGGTGGACTCGACGGCAGGAACAGGAGCTGGTTCCTCCGCTGGTGGCAGTTCTCTGAGCACGGTTCCGAATTGACGTGAAGGTGCTTGCTTCTGTGTGCCCTTCGGCGTGCTAACGGCCTGCGATTTTATGAACATGTTGAACATTTGCGTTGAGCATGTCTCATCCCCATCGAAAAAAGGTCCGGCGGATGAGGGTTTCGTTTTGGGCGTTGGCTGCGAGTCTTCTGAATCTTCAAAGATCTCTATCTTGCGGACAGGGGGAGCCGGGACCGCAAAGTGGTCATCTGAAGATGCGACAGAATCCTTAAATATTTCAATTTGCTGCATCACTTTTTGCTCGGATACAACCGGCAACTGGGCTGAAACTGATGTCTGTGGTTTCGCAAGTGGTTGCGAAGCTGCTTCCTCTTCGACCACAGCAGCTTCTTCCTCCTCCTTTTCATACTCCTCCTGCACCGAGGAAACCCTGCGCTGCATCATGGATTTTCTGGAGGAAGAGGGGAAAAAACTTTTACGGCGTGGCATCTTGTTACCAGGCAAGCAGACCGTTTCTTCCATATCGAAGTCGCCATGAACAGTGACATTCCGCTTCTCCAGCCACTTGGCTGCCAGCAGCTCCTCTGATTGGTACTCCTGCTGCTCCTCGTCGTTGTAGATCTTGTCGAAAACGACCTGAAGACCTTGCACGAGCGGGGGCTTCCAAAACTTGTCAAGTTCGTCTCTCGGCTGCGGCTTGGAAGATTTGGCGAAGTTCGGATAGCAGCGCACTCCTCTTACCACTCCACCAGTTCCCCACCACTCGTCGTTGCGCTGTACAAATGGACGATGTGGGTCGTGGCGTTTCAGATGGACAAAGGCACGGTATTCCTCAGGCGAGAATTCGAGGTTTGGACGCGGATAAAGCAGGCACTTATTGTAGCAAGGCAGTCCATTTGCGTTCGGCTCGTCCTCAATGGTAACTGGCGTCACCCATGCCTGCTGAGGCTTGTTCTTAACAACAAAGTTAGGCGGAAATCTAAAGGGCTGATCTAGGCGGCGCTCATAGTTAGTGATGGGTGGATGCGCATGATCATCTACGTGTATGTCAAAACCCAGGTCCGCAGTGGTGTTATTACCAAAGATCTTTCCGTGCTTGTGGCGCTTGGCATGCGCCGTGTTCCAGGCCACCGGTTCCTTAACATTCTCCTGCCCGCGAGCTGCATCTATGATTGAACGCAGGCTCGACTTCCCCTCCGTCTCGGATACAGGCAGTGGTATATTCGCTTCAGCGTTTTCGTCGTTAAACACCTGCACATTACGACCGGCATTGCGCACACCACTGGTGCTTGAAGCATCTGTCTAATGCATAGATGAAAAGTTGTTTTAGAATCAAAAATAAGAATTCGTAAGCCGTAAAATCAGAAAATCGGTAAAATCAGTAAATATACAAAAAAAATTTAAATTGTGTTAAATTGATTATGAACCCTATAAGCAAATTATTGGTTAAAAAGAAAAAAAATATTCAGTCAGACTTAATAAAATAAACATAGAATTTAAGCTTTTTGTCTGCACAGGCATTTTGTATTGCATGGTGTCGAAAAATAATATTTAAAAAGTGCATTTATTTGATCGAGTGCTTTTCTCACAAAATGTAATATCAGAAATGTTAAATTATCCCAATACCATAAGCGCAAGGCGTTCCCACAGTTCTTATGACTGAACTTAGCTCAACGCCACCTTACATCGCACAGGCATTGGATAAAAAAAACTTTTTTATTGTGATCAAATGCACTTCCCGCTAAACTAGCAGGTTTTTTAAGAAAACATAGAACAGGAACCTAAAGGTGCAACCAAATGTTTAAATTTTGAAAGGGCCCAAAAATGTATTTTGTCTTAATACTTATAGAACAAAGCATCGGATTTATACCAAGTGGGGTGTCATTCGATGCGCATTTTCAACAAGATTGAAAGAAGGCCTAACTGGAACATTTTGAGCCACCAAACACAACTTCCATTTTCGAAATTTTTAAGGTATAACCTTGTGGGGCGTGATAAATAAATAAGCATCCTTAGGCTTATATATACAAAGTCTATATGTTTACTCTCACTATTTCTCCAAAGACAAATGATTTCTGTATATCTGTATAATTAGGTACCTAAAACGCTCAAGTGAAGAAAATACGATTACGAGACGGATCGAAGGATCAAAACGCACCTGGACCACGCCTGGCAAGCCGCTTTTGACCGCGGCTCCGGTGCGTACACTTCCCACGGTAATGACGTTGGTGCTCCGCTGACGGCGACCATGCAGCGACTGCAGCGCCAGTCGCCTCTCGTTTAGCTCTTGGTTAACCGCGTTGGCCTCCTCGCCGGTAGTGTAGAGCAAGCGCTGGCCTACCGTGTAACCGAAGTGCTGGTGCGCCTCCCTTAGCTCCTCTAGCGGCTCTGCGCGGCAGTCGAGGCCCAGGCGGAAGATCTCGTCGGCCTTGCGCATGTTGCCGCTCAGGTCGTAGCTGTAAGCCCAGGCAATGTAAAAGTCGGCCAGCATGGTTCCGATCCCGTTGTTGTACATCTGCTGGTAGAACTCGATCTGATCCTTCTGCTTTTCCATCTACCAAGCAATTAGGTAAGGAGGGTAAGTGGACTCCCCCTAAAAATATTTCTTAGCACTTACGAATTTAATAAAGAGCCTGATAAGGCGTTTGTCCTGCCGGTAGCGCTCGTCCTCTTCGAATTTCGTCAGGCACTGGTGCAACGCCGCGTGGAGACCGGAGCCACTGCCCCCTGCCGGATAGCTCTGCTCGATCCAGCAGATGTACTTGTACCATGGTTCCAGCGGGTCCTCACCTACATATGTGCGAACCTCCTCCTCCATTTGCTTGCGATGCGCCAGGAGCTCCTGGCCGTGGGCGGAGTCCTGACTGAGTGACGCCTGCAGCAGGCTCACGTTGCGACCGCTGGCCAGCGGCTGGATGTTTTCCTTCGCGTTGTCAAAGTCCATCTCGGTGCCCGTTCCCGCACAAATATCTTAAAAACTTATATTTTTTTGCTTAAACAATTAAACTAAATAACTGTTCGACGGTTCGCGCCGAAGGAAATGCTAAAGATGATGGCAGAGATCGACACGCCGTACAAAGTATCGATATACCGATACTAAACTTGTTTACACTTACGCCGCAACAAACACAGGAAACATAAAATAAGCAATGTACCGAATAATAAATTTTATTTCTATTATTATTTGTCCTTGCTGAGATCAAAAAGGTTGCCAACTGAGTCTCCAACAATTCTTACCTATTTTTTGCGTTTTATAGCTTCATTGTAAAATTTGACTTATTAATGGATAACATATGTTTGGTTTTTTTTTATTTTAAAGCCTAGTACTCAGATCGACGAAAACTTTTGGGAACTTGCAGGGAAAAAATCAAAAAACCTGCAAAAGTCGATTGCAGGAGTTTACATGTGAGGACAAAAAAACATTAATACTCTCGAAATTTTGGTCACACTGGAAAGATTAAAGTTTTTACGCTAGCGTAATCGTTTGTCGATCTGGATACTAGGCTATATATTATGTGTTTTTATCGAAGGCAAGCTTACCGGATTCTTATGTGATGGGTTATCGCTAATCGATATCTTACGAAATTCACATTCCTAATTAAAAACGTAACGGCGAATGGCGCGGGCAACCGAAAGTTTCTTGTTTAGTTAAATAGCTGAATAAAAAGACATGGATGACTCTCAATTTATCTACATCGACTCCGATACAGACTCTGACCGCACTGTCGTATTTGATGCCAAGGAACAAAGGATCAAACCAAGCGTTGAGCACGACGAAACGCTTCCAAGCTATACAGATTCAGCTGCCAAAATCGAGCCTTCGCTCTATGACCGACGACAACTCAGCAGAGTGAAGACAAAATTCATGAGCAATTTTTTGACCCTCAGAAAGGCGTCAGAAAAGTTGCACCGCTTGATAAAGACGAACACTCAGCTCCTAACTTTCGTCAACGCATCGGCCCAGACAAGCATGAGCAACATGAGCGATATCTACAAGCGCTGGGATTCCGGCATCCTGTCCTTACGCTCCCAGCACGACCAAATCGTCGCCGCTGTTCGGGGAAAAAAGACTGGAACGAAGGACGCACTGCTGGCGGAGATTAAACGAAAGCGATGGTGCTGCGTTTGTCTGAAGCCTGCGCTAATATGGGATTTAGACGGACTGACCGCCACGTACTTCTGCGGTATGGACTGCCAGTTGGCGCACATAGACCCGTAAAACGCTTCCGGATGGCTTAAAGTCTTTTATTAATATACCAAATTCTAAATGTGATTAGAAAATAAAGTCACGCGTTCTCCGTTAGGGCTTAAAACATACAAATTAATTGAAAATGTGTTTATTCCTTAAAAGCGTCCCCAGTTGCCAGTTTGGTTAGCGCCTCCGTTACCCTTTCCGCCAGTGTTTTCGAAGCCACCCCCCGAACCTCTATTGCTTCCAAAACCGCCGCCGACGCCGCCTTCTGAAGGCCCAAATCCACTGATATTTTCAAAGCCTCGATTGTTTCCGTAACCTCCTACATTATTTCCGTAACTTCCTCCATAATTTCCATAACCTCGGCCGTTCCCATAGCCTCCGTTTCTTCCATATCCCCCTCCAAAGCCTCGACTTCCTCCATTGCCGAAGCTGGTCATTCCCCGGTGGCTATAACCTCTGTTTCCAAAGCGCCCTCCTCCACCGCTATCAAAGCGACCACGTTTTGCTGGACCACCGCCGGAACTAACCTGTCGTGATTGATGCGGCAAAATTCCCACGTCCCGTTGCAGTTCGAAATCCCCGGAGCTCTTGACACAAAGGTCCTTAACTACCCTGACCAGCTTGGCGTAGGGCTCCTCCAGCTGAAGCACGTCGGCCGGGTTGTCGCAAGCAACCGTGATGAGATCTTCCAGCGCCGGTTTCAGGGCCCCGACTTTCGCCGCATGTTCTGGTTCCATTTCAAAGTTAACCCAGTTGTCCACGCGCACCATGTTGTTGGCGGTCAAGTCGATCTTTCGCGATCCGAACAGCATCACTTGTAGAGGCGCTACCATCGATAGTTGCTTGCATGAAACAGCACGCGTGCGAATCTTCTCGCCGAAGACGAAAAACGGATACGGAAAGGTGACGGCCAAGTTACTACAGTTCACAGAAGTCTTGTGCAGCAGGGCCGCCTTGGACTCGGTAGTCAGCACCTTGCGCTTCTCCTTGTGCACGCAAATGTTGGGGTACAGGCCCAGGCACAAAAGAGCTAGCGACACGTCCAACACTGGGTCGTCGCGATTAGTCTCTGCGTCCACCTCGTGCGGTATCATGCACTCCTCAGGGAACCCAGCCTGCAGAAGCAGATCCAACAACTGCTGCTTCGCATCCCACATTACGTTCATAGTCGACATTTGCAGACCCTTCCATTCGCAGAAGCTAGCCTCCTGCTGCTCACCACGTTGTTTGGCGCGTTGCCATAGTTGCGAGGCCACAATCATGGCTACATGGTCAGAACATTTGCTGCCGCTTAATGCCTTCTGATGATTAGCCAGTCTACGTTGCCCTATATCTAACTGAAAAACCTCGGAGAACGTGCTAGAGTAAGAGGCCATGCTGGCGACAAGGTCGGCACAGCCAAACACCGCCCCTAGCACCATCATTTTCCCCAGTCTCGGCTCGATTGGGAGGCGTGCCAGCAGGCGACCCAGTGGCGTTAGTTCATCGTTGACGTCAAGGCAGCGCATCTCGCGCAACAGCACCTCCGCCTCGATAACAGCGTCTACTGGCGGCGGTTCCAGTGCCTTCGATAGGAAGTGGTGAATGGCGCCGAGCCGGAGCAATTTAATGGTGAGAGCCATCTCGTGCAAAGGCGTGCGGAACATCTCGGGCGTGAGGTTATCCTCAAGCAATTCGAAGCGGGCACGCGAACACAGCGTAAAGCAGAAGCCGGGACGGACTCTTCCGGCGCGGCCCTTGCGCTGCTCCAGGTTGGTCTTGCTGGCCCACACGGTGGCGTAGCTTGTTAGGTTGTTGTGAGAAGTAAAGAGCTTCATGCGCGCCTTGCAGACGTCCACCACAAAGACAATATCGTCAATGGTTATTGAAGTCTCTGCGATATTAGTGGAGAGAATGATCTTGGTGACGCCTTCCGGCACTGGCTCGAACACCTTGCGTTGGTCGTCTCGCGGAATCTGCGAGTGGCACGGCAGAATTCGATACTGGGCAGAATTGCCAAAAGTATTTGTACTTTGCAGATACTTCATGAGTGCAAATATCAGGTTCCAGCCGGGCAGAAATACCAATATGGCGCCGGGAATGTTTTTTGACTTAATGTGCACCAGCAACGACTCCAGCAGCTCGAAGCTGACGTCCGATTCGGAGAGCATGGCCATAGCGTTGCGCGTCTTCTGTGAGTACTTGTCCTCGCACACCTTATTACAGTTGGTCTCCGCCTCTTCCTTGTTCTCCGAGAGCTGTAGCTGCTCCTCGTCCTCTGCCTCCTTGCGCTTCCGACGCGACTCCACCGAGGGTACAAATTCTGTCATCTGGAGAATGTCCTCCAAGAAGAACTGTTGCACGGGGAAGGCCCTGCCTGGAACCTCCAGTACGGGACAGCCTCCAAAGTACTTGGAAAAGAGTGTAGTGTCAATGGTGGCCGACATAAGAATAACTGGGAAAGAAAATCAAATTTCCAGTAAGTTGACTGATCTAGTTCAGGAGGAATGTATGTATAACAAGAAAGGAAAGCTAACTTCGGGGGAGCCGAAGTTGATATACCCTTGCAGAATATTCTGTAAATTATATTTTCTTAATACTCGTTAAGTTATGGCATTTCCGATCAATCAGTTATATGGCGGCTATAGGATATAGTCGGCCGATCCCGGCCGTTCCGTCTTATATACTGCATGAAAAGGAACGAAGGTTGTGTGCAAAGTTAAAATTCGATATCTTTAAAACTGAGAAACAGACAGACGACCAAAATTATAATACCCTCTGAAAGGGTTTGTTCTTTGGGTGTTGGTAATATTTTAATATGAAAATACGGTTTTAATTAAAATAAAATCGGACATCTATATCATATAGTTGCCATAAAAAAATTAAAAAAAATAAAAATGTAAAAAAAAGTTTATTTTGTTTTTTTTTTTTTTATTGAAATATTCCTTTGAGATATAGTAATTATTGACAATATCAAAATTACGCTTTTAGTTTTGTTAAAATCGGACAACACTATCATATAACTGCCATAGAAACGATGGCAAAATGCAGCGCAAAATCGACATATGTAGCTTCATTGTTTTTAGTAATATAGGCAAAGAAATCGAAATGTAGTCGTTTTGTAATAAAGTGTATATAAACTTCGGCTTGCCGAAGTTTACTTCCTTTCTTGATTGGATTTTGATCTATGACTGCACACGTGAGCATTTAAGGCATTCCAGAAAAAATTTGTTGTAAAAAAAAAAAGCTGCACGAAATATTAAAACCATTGTGGGCAGGAATGCCACCTTAATGAAGATACAACCACACATTAATTGCAAAAATCTATTATATGCTCGATTGACCATGTCTGGTTTCTAATGGAAAATGCAGCGCCCATAGTTTTAGCTGGCCAAGAACTACATTGTAAATTATGCTTCTTAAAATACGTACGGTTTTTAGACTCAAAAATATAATATAAAATACAAATGTCAGCTCACCGTGCAGATCCGGGTAAGTGTCCACCATGTCACGAAGAATGACCAGCAGAAAATCGCTGTTCACATCTCTCTCGTGGATTTCGTCGACAATGATGTGCGAGACTCCCCGCAAGCCCGCTTCCAATTTGCGCAGCAACACGCCCACGGTGCAGAAGAGAATGCCGCCATAGGGCCGAGGGAAAACCGATTCAAATCGCACAGAGTAACCGATGGTGTCCCCCAACTGCTCGCAACGCTCGCGGGCGACGCGCTCTGCCACAGAAATGGCTGAGATGCGACGGGGCTGGGTCACGTAAATGTTGGCGTAGCCACCTTGGCCGGAGGAGATGTAGTCGTCGAGAATGTACTGGGCTATCTGAGTGGTCTTGCCGCAGCCTGTGTTACCGCGAATGATCACAACTGGGTTCTCATTGACGGCAGTTAGGATCTCGGATCGCATGGCAGCAATAGGCAGCTTATCGCGGAACTCGAGAAATTGTCGGTACTCAGCGTCATTCTGGCGACGCTCTCGGAGCGAGCGTTCGAATTCCAACGAAAGATCATCAATAGAGGCGGTTGCCAGTTCTCCTTCGTCGATGTTGCAGGCGTGCCAGGTGTTCCAGTTTGGCTGAGGAGGTGCCCAGGGAATCACCGAGCTTTCCTGACGCTTTTCTCCCTCTTGTGGTATAGAGTCAATCCGGTTGACGTTAACCTGGGGAAAATGCCAGTCTTAATTGGGAACAGTATAATAGTACCTAAGTAATTTGATATTGATTTATTTTTTAAAATTTTTATCTAGAATCTGTCCAAGATTCGGAATAAATTCACTAAATTTACTTACTTTTTAATAAGAAGTAATTGTCATTATTAATAATAAATAGTAATAATGTTGTATTATATACAATACTTAGTTAATTATTAAGGTAGTATGAGATCATTTAAGAAGTGTTAGACGGAGTTCTTATTAGATTTTCATAAAACCTCTGGTGTTTGCAGAAAATTAATTGATAAAACGCGTGCATTTTGAGAAAATGTACCTCCAAGTTAAAAAAAGTATTATTTTTTTTAAATAGGTGGTAACGGGTTTAAAGCTTAGGAATTCTATATAATTAAATGAAAAACAAGAACGTCTTTGAACTAAGTATAAATACCCTTTCCACTTTTACAAAAATAAAATGTTTTATATATAACGACTTTGTTTCGATTTGTTGGAGTATAAATGTTTTGATCGCCCCATTGGTAGCTTTATGTTATATTGGTCTTATTTTATAAAAAAAAAAAAATAATTCTTAAATTTGTAAAACATCTATGATTCGGAGCAAATATTTAAAAACAAGAAAGGAAAGCTAACTTCGGGCGGAGCCGAAGTTGATATACCCTTGCAGAATACTCTGTAAATTATATTCTTCAAATTTATTCATATGATGCATTCTTAATATTCATAAAAAATCCCAACTTCCTAACATTAAAAACACCAAAGTTATGGCATTTCCGATCAATCAGTTATATGGCAGCTATAGGATATAGTCGGCCGATCCCGGCCGTTCCGACTTATATACTGCGTGCAAAGGAAAGAAGGGTGTATGCAAAGTTTCAATTCGATATCTTTAAAACTGAGAGACTAGTTCGCGTAGAAACAGACAGACGGACATGGCTATATCAACTCAGGAGGTGATCCTGATCAAGAATATATATACCTTATAGGGTCGGAGATGCCTCCTTCACTGCGTTGCACACTTTTGACCAAAATTATAATACCCTCTGCAAGGGTATAAAAACATCGTAAAACAAGAACGGAAAGCTAACTTCGGGCGGAGCCGAAGTTGATATACCCTTGGAGAATACTCTGTAAATTATATTCTCCAAAATTATTCATATGATGCATTCTTAATACTCATAAAAAGTCCCAACTTCCTAACTTTAAAAACACCAAAGTTATGGCATTTCCGATCAATCAGTTATATGGCAGCTATAAGATATAGTCGGCCGATCCTTATAAAATTTGGTAGGTCGGATTGATTGGCCAAATATAAAACCCATAGAAAATTCCAACTTCCAAACTTTACAAACACCAAAGTTATGGCATTTCCGATCAATCAGCTATATGGCAGCTATAGGATATAGTCGGCCGATCCCGGCCGTTCCGACATATATACTGCGTGCAAAGGAAAGAAGGGTGTGTGCAAAGTTTCAACTCGATAGCTTTAAAACTGAGAGACTAGTTTGCGTAGAAACAGACAGACGGACAGACGGACATGGCTATATCAACTCAGGAGGTGATCCTGATCCAGAATATATATACTTTATAGGGTCGGAGATGTCTCCTTCACTGCGTTGCACACTTTTGACCAAAATTATAATACCCTCTGCAAGGGTATAATGATATTATAATTTTTGAAAATGTATTTTTCCGATTGCCCCATAGAGCTATTTGGAATAGTCATTCGGTCATTAAAATTGTTAATTGGTCCCTTCTGATAAATTTAATTTTAATTTAAATCTTAATACAGCTGCTTTATAAGCATTCTGATTCTGAACAATAATACCTAATTATATCGATCTAATTAAGCCTATCTCTCTAAACAATTAAATTATAGTTGTCAAAAGACTGTTTATAGTACTTAAAAAGTTTCGAATCACTTACAATTAGTGGAATGGGAGCGCCGTCCGTTTCAATTTTGATATTGCGCGGATTTACGACAGGAAGATCCAGCACTTGGATTACTTCGTCAATGTTGTTAATCAGCTCGGGAGGCAGCTTCACCGGGTAGGGTTTTAGCTCCTCGTCTTTTTTCTTTTTAAGCGTTCCGCTGAAAGGCTCGATGACCTTTAAATGGAAGAGCTGGCGCACCAAGGACAATGCACAAGATTTGCTGGCCGACTTTTTGTTGGAGCCCGTCTCGCGGGCCGTCACCTTGCGTTTGAGAGCCGACACGTAAATGGACAGCTCGGCCATAAAGCTCCTAGATTGACAAGGCTTTAAGAGGTAGTTTCAAACCAGCTGGTGCGCCAAGGCGCGGAACTTACCCTTGGGCTTTATGGAGGGCCACTATAGTGGGTGACCGTGCACAGCGACAGAAAAGCTAGCTGACAGAGCGATGTGGTGCTTATGTGAGGACGCAGCCGACAAGCCAGCGCTTAAATTTCTGCCACCTACGCCGCCTTTCATTAGAGTCCGTTTTGCTCACAGGCCCCATGCAAGGCAGCGGGACGTGGTTTTTAGTATTTAGGTGTATCGTACCACGTCGCTCTGCAGGCTTAACTATCAACGCATTGCGCACAGTCCCCCAAGGATTGCGGGTTGCATTCCAGACTTGGCCGTAGAACAAATTTGGCCAAATCCGGAATGCAAGCTCAAAAAAAAATTAAGGACCTACCTAGCGTGGTCCGGGCCCACTGGAGTATACTTGTAATCGTCGCGGATATTGTTGGCTTGCTTATACATATTCAGTCGATCCTTCGCGTTCTCTATGGTCCAGTTCCCGTGGATAGCGGCGTTAACATCGATGGACTCAGCCTCGTTCATGTCCTTCTGCTCCTGCACATGGTCGATGATGCTGAAGCGGCCGCCATCGGGTCCGCTCCCGAGGTTTAGTGGTCGATACGCCTCGCCCAGATCCTGTGGACCCGACTGACCACCAAACACGCGCTTTTGATGTCCGCCATCCGCTGTTACGCCCTCGACCTGCTGACCAACCCTGGGTCCCGCCCCCGCCGAAGCACCAGCATCCGCCGGAACATCCTGGGCATTCAGTTTGCCCACACGCACCAGATAGTTGACAAAGTCACGACACGCGTTTTTCTCAGCGTCCTTCTTGTTGGTGGAGTTTCCCACACCAATGTAGCTGTCCTGGTCCACGCGAACCTCGCATAGGAAGCGCTGACGGTTTTTTGGGCCTGTAAATTTAGTATGTTGCATTAACCTTTTGCAAAATACGTTTTTTGAAATCACTCACCCGTTTGGCGAATGTCAAACTTCGGTTCAATACGCGACTTGGCGCAAAATTCGTACAGAAATGATTTTATATCCATGTCCGATTTTTTGTAGATGTTAACTGCAATTGTCAGAGTCAAGCTTGTTACCCTTTTAATCGATATTCCTTCTCTTGCTTATCATTCGAGGAAGAAAATAGTGCCGAGAAGGGAACGTCCCAGCGCCATTTTTTCCACAGAAATATCGGTTGAAAAATACTAGAAAAATATATACAAATATTATGTGCGTCGAATTTGCGGCAATTGTGGAACGGTTGAGCTTGGAACAGAAGAACAGGTTTTATTTTCGCGCTATTTGGGTATAAAATCAAATTGAGCATTTTGGAGATTTGCAACAAAATCGACTTTCCATATAACTCCACTTACAAAGCGTGTTTCAATATGGACGGCAAATCAGCTTAAAAGACGCTATATAAAGAATTTCATACCCACAGCTTTTGAAAAAAAAATCGCTCATCATTCGGCCATCGTCTGAATCAGCCTATACAAACATAAAGGACTAAAAAAAAATTAGAAATAACGTCCTTCACAGGGCGTGTGCCAAAATGGCATGTATGTTTATAGGCGCATTTGCGGAAATTGAAGTAATATTGCTCGAAATCTAAAAATGGTATTCACAGTTTTTGAGAAAATCGCTGTTTAAAGGAATGGCGCCCACTTCAATTCTCGAACCAGTTCGTTAGCCATGGCATAAACCAAATAATTGTCTGCCATTTGAAATATTAATTTGACGCTAGCTTTTGGGAAACTCCTACGTCCTTTACAGAGCGTGTGCAGTGTCAAAAGATATTTTAAAAAATTCGTATTTATCGTACCAACTTAAAGAAAAGTTTCCATCAATTTCTATTCTCAGTTTCCTTGGAACTAAAATTGTTTAGTGAATGGTTTTGCTGCCGTAAGACACTTGCCATAGTGAATCACCGATTGTTATTTGATATTTAAGCAATTGCAGAGGGTATTATAATTTCACTCAAAAGTTTGCAACGCAGTGAAGGTGATATCTCCCGACCCTATAAAGTATATATGTATATTCTGGATCAGGATCAATAGGGGAGTCGATATAGCCATATCCGTCCGTCCGTTTCTACGAGCTATCTTCTTGAAACGTTCCCAAAAGTTGTCTTTCTATTGCAGGTAGTATATAAGTCGGGCCAAGCCGGATCGGGCGACTATATCAAATAGCTCCCATAGAAACAATCGGAAAAAAAATTCAAAAAAATGCTTACTTAGTTTTTGTTTTTTTTGGTCTTTGGGATTTGGTAATATTTAAATATTATGGAGTTACGGTTTTAATTAAATTAAAATCGGACAACAATTTCATATAGCTGCCATAGAAACGATGGCAAAATGCAGCACAGAGTCGTCCCAGCTTCATTGTTTTTAGTGACATAAGCATAGAAAATGAAATATAGTCGATTTGTAATAACTGCAAGGGTATATAAACTTCGGCTTGCCGAAGTTTGCTTCCTTTCTTGCTTTTTCTAATATACAATATAAAGTTCTTATCCCACTACCACCCTTCCCCTGCTAATCATTTTAGTGTACGTTTTATTCAAATCCTGTCCGCTGTTCCTGAGATATTCTCTCACTTAATTAAAGAAATTTTAGTTTATTTGTTATGCAGCTCTCGTCTGACTTTGCGGGACTTGCAACACAACAGTTTGTTACTTAATTTAATGATGAGCAATAAAAATAAAAAAAGGGGCGAGCAAAACAAACGTTAAAGTTTGAGAGATGCTCTTTTGACGATTTTGGAAAGTTCGCCAGCTGTTTACCTCTCGCTTTCTCTCATAGCTGAAAAACGGATTTCGTCGATCTGAGTACTAGGTTTTAAGATCAAACTATACTTTGAGAAAACAAAAGCTTTAATCAAAGAGCCCTACAATATAGTGTCATAATAGCTTAAGCGGCAGTGTGAAGACGGTATTACAAACTGTTGTCTCTGATACTTTAATACACGGCGTCAACCAGTGCTGAAAAACAAACCGGAGCTTTTAACACTGTGGCCGGAGCTACAAATTGCATTTAATTCGATTTGAAAAAATGTCTGTCCACTCGCCCAATCCCGCCCTGATCTTGCAGAGCAAGCGATTCAATGGACTGCGCAACATCCTGGAGCGCGAGGGCCCCTTTTGTAAGGACGACTTCTCGGCTTCTCCAGACAATCTGGAGTTCCTGCAGACCAAGTGCCAGGTTCTGATCATCGGGGCCGGCGGTCTGGGCTGCGAACTGCTGAAGGACCTGGCTCTAATAGGCTTTGGAAACTTGCACGTTATCGACATGGACACTATCGAGCTGTCCAACCTTAACCGCCAGTTCCTGTTCCGCCGCACGGACATCGGAGCATCAAAGGCCGAGTGCGCAGCGCGCTTTATTAACGGACGAGTTCCCTATTGCCGGGTTACGCCGCACTTTAAGAAAATCCAGGACTTCGACGAGAGCTTCTACCAGCAGTTCCACATGGTCGTTTGTGGCCTGGACTCGATCGTGGCCCGTCGCTGGATCAATGGAATGCTGCTTTCCATGCTGCGCTACGAGGAAGACGGGACAATAGATGTCAGCTCAATTGTGCCCATGATTGATGGCGGCACCGAAGGCTTTAAGGGTAACGCCCGCGTCATCCTGCCTGGATTTACGGCCTGCATTGAGTGTACTTTGGACCTGTTTCCGCCGCAAGTCAACTATCCCCTGTGCACCATAGCGAATACTCCCCGGCTGCCGGAGCACTGCATTGAATACGTGAAGATCATACAGTGGGAGAAACACAGTCCGTTTGGAGTGCCACTTGATGGTGACGATCCCCAACATATTGGCTGGGTCTACGAAAGGGCTCTGGAGCGGGCCAACGAGTTCAACATCACCGGTGTCACTTATCGCTTGGTCCAGGGAGTTGTCAAGCACATAATTCCCGCCGTTGCCAGTACCAATGCAGCCATAGCCGCTGCCTGCGCCCTGGAGGTTTTTAAGTTGGCCACCAGCTGCTATGATAGCATGGCAAACTACCTGAACTTCAACGATCTGGACGGGATCTATACCTACACCTACGAAGCGGAAAAGTCGGAAAACTGCTTGGCCTGCAGCAACACGCCGCAGTCTCTGCCCATCGAGGATCCCAACACCACGACGCTAGAGGATGTCATCAAGATGTTGTGCGACTCTCCGCGTTTTCAGCTCAAAAACCCGGCTCTGACCACTGTGATGAAGGACAGCAAACAGAAGACTCTGTACATGTCGACAGTGAAGAGCATAGAGGAGGCCACCCGGAAGAACCTGACGCTGTCGCTGGGCGAACTGGGACTGCAGGATGGGCAGCAGCTGACTGTCACTGATGTCACCTCGCCCTCCGCCATGACTCTTATGCTGAAGTATCAGTCAAACGAGGTGGAGATGGTCTGAATTGTATCACATTAGACTTCAATTTTAATACATAATACATGTAAATTATTAAGTTCCGCAACTAAATGCTCATGTCGAAGATGTACTTCTTGCCGGTGAATCCTTTGAAGTTCAGGGCAGCAGCCGCCGCATCTTGAAACTTATCCAAAGGCACCATCTCATGGTTGGGAGCCACAAACTTCCCCTGTTCCATCAGATCAAAAATATTCTTGAACATTTTCGATCGTTCGGCGGAACTGTAGTTCTCCTTGGACCACCGTGTCATCCAGAAGCCCCTAAATGCAATATCCTTGAAAATGAGGGGTCCGGTGGCCACGGTAACAGGCTCGCGGGACATGCCGCCATATGTGACCATCACGCCGCCATTGTCCAAATGACGCGAAACCTCAGTAGCGCTCTTGCCGCCCACACAATTGAAGGCCAGTCGGGGCTTTTTCAGCTTGCCCGACTTAAAGATATCACTGGTGCGAATCTCGGCCTCGGTCAGGATCTCGGTGGCTCCCATGCACTGCAGCATCTGCTTAAGCTCTGCAATATCCGGTCGATCGCGGACAATGCCTACGCTATTTAGGCCCCAGGCACGGCACAATTGATGCACTGCCTGGCCAACTGCGCTGTTAGCTCCATTCTGGATGACCGTGTCTCCCGATGAAAGCTGGACAAAGTCCCTCAGCATGCGGTAGGCGGTGGTGGGATTTACCGTCGATGTGGCTGCCTCCGCCAAACCCACTTTTTTTGACACGGCCAGTAGCTGGTCCTCCTTGTAGATGGCATGGGTTGTCCAGGTGCCGAGGCCAGAGGCCAGGGGAATGACATGCTGTCCCGCCTCCAAGCCCTTCACATTGTCGCCTACGCATATAACCTCGGCCACACACTCGTTGCCTCCAACGGCTGGAAACTTTGGCTTCACTGGGTATTTACCTGTGTAGGATTTTAAGGAGTCTTATTCTGGAGCATTTTAAAACGCTTATACAAAAGTGCGGTAGTTTCTGACGGGAAATATTTTTCATGCAATTATAGGATAGTCGGTATAAACAATGGTTTTAAATGTCATTATGATAATTCTATATTAATTGAAATAATAATTAATAAGTGAAATAAAATTTTGTGAACATTTTATTACGTTATAAACTTCTGAATTATAATTCCCTGTAAAATTAAGAAAATACAAAAATTGTTTAGGGTTGAGAACAATAAAAGCTAGATATGTACATATGTATTTTGTACATACCTACGAAAAAAAAATGTTTAAGTATTTCCATTTTTCGGTTCTGTAGTTCAAAATTCATTTTATTTTTTTTGAGCTGCAGAATAAATAAACAGACTATGCTTTTTGGCCGCAGTTATGTACATATGTATGTATTTACTGGTGCGTTTATATATGTATGTATAAGCCCAGCTTACCCTGGATTGTGTTTATGTCCGCTGGGTTAATGGGAGCCGCCAAGATCTTTACCAGCACCTGGTTGTCCTTGGGATCGGAAAGTTTGTCCTCCACCAGTTGCAAAACATCCTGTGGTTCGCCATGTTGAGTGTACTTCAGGGACTTAGCCAGCACCGACAAGTGGCGGTTCCATATGCCGGGGCGGATTCCTGACAAAACTCTATGGCGCAACATTAAAAACAGGAGTTTTGGATTATACTAATAATGAATTGTAAATGGTTATGCAGGCGAGTGTGACCGTTGCAGCTAGCCAGTTATATTTAGGTGATATCGGGTCTTGGTATTTTCAGAAAAAGCAACAAACGGCCGCCGTGTTTTCGCTAAATTTCAGGTGCCTCAAATCGATTTTTTAAACAAAACCTCAAGAAATACTCAAAAACCAAAATAACTGCTGGCAAAATGGACGCGTAAGCTTAATAAATTACTTAATAAAAGCTGCTTTGTTTTCATCGAATGAAGAATTTTTGCAGTTTACAAGACGAGGTGGAGTCGCTGGAAGCCATTCTAATGGACGATGTTCATATTAAACGCACGCCCAGGTAAGTGAGCTAGCTATATTTTAAAGATACTAATGCTAAGACTCGAATCCCCAAAAAGCGGCGAGGTGGAGCAGATTGAGACCACAGTGCTGCCTTTGACCGGCGATGAGGAGGAGCAGCAGTACGTGTGCGTCACTTTGCAGGTGCAGCCGACGCCAGGATATCCGGAGGAAAGTCCCATATTCAAGCTGCTGCGTCCGCGTGGATTAGACGATGCACGTTTGGAGGCCATCCGCAGCGCCTGCAATGCCAAAATCAAGGAGTCGCTGGGTTTCCCAGTGGTCTTCGACCTAATAGAGGTAGTGCGGGAGCACCTGACTGGTAGCAATCTGCCCAGTGGACAGTGCGTGGTCTGTCTTTATGGATTTGCGGACGGCGACGAGTTCACCCGTACCGAGTGCTTTCACTACCTGCACAGTTACTGCCTGGCCCGCCATCTTAACGCCCTGCGCCGCAACTACCAGGAGGAGTTCGACAAACTGCCCGCCTGGTTGCAAAAGACGGCCGATCCCTTCCAGGCCCTGTGCCCCGTCTGCCGAGAGCACATCGGCGACGAGACAGACAGCCTCAAGTGCGCAATGCCGCCGTCGGAACTTCTCAATGCACCAGACTTCAAGGTGACCGAGGAGCTCCGTCAGATGCAGCAGCGCATGTCGGAGTTGTATTTGCAGCAGAAAAGCCGCGGCGCTATCATCGATGTGAAGAGCGAGGGATCGGCCGTGATTTCAATCGAGACCGAGGAGGATATCAGACGTCGGCGGGGTCGCGAGGAGGCAGAAGCAGCCAAGAAGCTAGAAGGACCGGCCAAGGAGGAGGCACTCAAGCCCACCACTAGTACCACATTTGTGCCAGTGGTGCAGGAGACCCAGCGCATCATGCCAGAGCCGACCAACAATAACTATTACCACAATCGGCGGCACTATCGCGGCGGCAGACGGCACCATCATCACCAGCACGGTCACCATCATCGAGCCGAAAGGGATCGCGAGCAGAACGCTGCTGCAGCCACTGCCGGTAGCTCAACATCGAATACAGGCAACGGGAAACAGGCAAAGGCTCAGTCGGCCAGCTCCGGGCTTGCCAGGTGACGATGGCTCCCGGATGAGATGGGAATCCGGATACCCATAGCGTTGCCATGCTGCTAATACACAATGAAGTACCATCCCAAACGACCCAGCTTTAGTTTTGTGAGGCGCACACGTTTCTGTGAATTTTTATGTTCGTATGTTCGTATATATTTATGTTTAGTTAGCTTTAGCGAGCCGGGTTAGCTAATTTCGATTTTATTGACGATGATATTTAGTTGTACTTTAATTATAATGATATTTGCAATGATTTACAAAAGACTTGCGGCACCATGCCGAGCCGATATTAGTAGGGCCTTTAATAGGTAACGCGTAGAACACATGTATTGAGCAGCATCAACTGGCAGCGCTGGCGTTGACGAGATTACACCATAACTTTGCAAAGCTCGAAGAGACGACGGTATTGATATTCACTTACGTATAATCTGCAACCGCACTTTAAAAATTAGAATAAATAATTCTCCATCTGGCGGCCTATAGCACAAAAATCGAACTTGAACTTAACGATTCAAGTTGGAGCGGCATTTCTAGTCAGTGAGTGGAGTTAAGGAGGCGGGAGGGGAGGAGGAAGGAACCCGATACAGGGCATCTGCATTAGCATGCATGCACACATATTTAAATATCACAATTAATTGAGTGTTTGTAGTGATCCACATGGATCGTCCATGGTATTATATCGAAAATTCAATTTCAATGTGTCAAATAAATACTACGATTGAGAACTTTAATGAATAAATCAAATTCGGAAATCAACTGTGCTTTGCGTTTCACTGCGGTGGGAAGGATCATCCAAAAATCGAAAGACCGGTTTATGATGTTATTTTTTGTAAATGTTTATTTCGCATTTAAATTGTTTTAATTTAATAGAATTACAAAAATCGTGTTTTAATGTATTTCTTTCGTTTCGTACAACAAAATAATTTAGTATTAGTATTTTACAATATTTATATAAGCGGGCTCTTTTTCATTTCGCCCTTCTGCATCGCGTTTTATTCGCTGATATTGCATATAAAAAACAAAATTATGCAATACAAAATCTGTGTGTTTTTGTCGCTTAACAGTTAAATATTAATTAAACTTATAGTAATGACTTTTAGTACATAATTAAATATTTTCTTTATGCGACTTACAATTTTCACTTTCCTATTAGTTTAATAACAAAACAAAATCAAATTTTATCTCTTTAACGGGTTTAGTTATTTTTTTGACCGTTCCGTCCCTACCACATCCCATTCTTGGAGCTAGGTATCCACCAGACTGGCGATTCTAGTGGAGCCCGTAGATCAAAGACGGTTTTCAGCAGGGACCGGCGTTTCATTGGAAAGGTTTCTCTTTTTCTAGATATCTTTTCGATATATATTTTTTTATTCTTTGTATTTTTTTGTCTTGGAGCACTTGGAGTGTATTTTTCATTAATTTACTCTTGCTTTATAAGTATATACAAATCATAATTTTAGAAACGGTATAACTAGAAAATAAAGGTAGTGGGCGTTATATTTTAGTAGTAGCAAAAGGTAGTATTCGTGTTAGTAGTACTCGTTAGAAGGTTGCTTGTCTGATCAACTTTGTGTGCTAGCTTTATGTCTGCATTCCTTCTCATCTTAACTGTGTGTCTTTTACAAAATATTTATAGCATAAACATCTATAAATTATTCCACTTTTTTACTCCGCTAGGGCACTTCATAGTAAGTCTCTTTAGAACTGTGTGCTGTCGCTACTACATCATAGCTCATGTAGTCTCTTTAAATTTTGGGGAGTGTTTGGGTTTAGTTTAGAACTTCAGTGCGTAGTTAGTAAGTAAAGTTGTGTGTATGTGGTAAATATTGGCATTCCTTTGCTTGTCTATTGTCATCCTTATTAATAAGGTTGAGTTCTTATAGACGGAACGGTTCCCGCTTCTCCGTTGGTGTCGTACCGCGCGAAGTTCGTCTCATTGTCGAGCTAAAAGTGGGCTCCGCCGAACTTTTTCGCGGCGTCTGCATGCCGGAGGGCGTTGAGCTACCGCTGATGTTCCGTCTGGGATAAAAAACATATATATTAGTTTCTGTTTTTCAACTATTTTTACACACTATAACACATAAAAATAACAAAAAAATGTATTATAATATGGTAAACGCAATTAAGCATTATTCGAGGCCATTTTAGGTTCTTCTTAATGTAGTTTCATGGCATAGACATGCACATTGACATGCTCGGAAAAGGTTGAACGAAAAGAAAACTTAACAATAACATTAAACGAGTATAAATCATAATTACTTGCTATATACTGAATTGACTAGTTAAATGTCTTTGTTGTAGGCTTATCAACTTTACCCAAAGCTGGTTGGATTCGTAATCGAGCTGGGCGATGTTGACTTGGAATCGAATGAGGGTATCTTAATCGGTATCCGCGATGGCCGGCTTTTGATGTTTTTGGGGGTAGTAAGTACAACATTAGTTAGCAAAGGTAAACCATAACCGCTGCCGACGATAAATGATCGCGATCTTACATGTAGACTTATGACTAATTAAACATGGGGACTAGACTTATGACTAAGTAAATATGTTATGTGGTGTATGCCGGTCGGCGCTGAATTACCTAATTGGTTTGAAGCCGAAGCCTGTTAGTGCTGGTATACTGGATGATCTACTCATGCCTCCGTTGCTGTTTCAGTTTTTAATATTTATATTTGATTTTCGTTTTTTTGGGAGGGGTTTCAGGCACGGTTTTTAGTTGCGTTCAAGCAAATTTCAAATGGTTAAATGCCAATCGGAGTTGTAAGTTAGCGTTTTATGATGTTGATCGTTTGTGTGAGTGGTGTTGGTCAAAAGTTAATGCGGTAAACCGAAAACAGTGTAAAAATAAAAATAATAAATTAATAAGAGTTTGGATAATTAAGAGTGTTGGGTCTTGCCCAATGTCGGGGACATTCTTCTCGCTTTAATGTACAGTTTAAATCCTAGAATCCTACCTTGTGGGGGCCGGACTGGCTGATCCGGAGGCGGTCTTGCGCGTGATGGTGCTGGTGCCGTTGAGCCGGCTACCCTGAGTTGTGGGAGTGGTTACCGAAAGTCGCGCCGGACGCGGTGTGGTGCCGCTGGCGGTACTGGCTGTCGAGGGTTTTCGTTGCGGAATGCGTGAGGGCGTATGATCGTCTAAAATAAACAGGATTTTAAAATTTGAAGTTTTTTAAAAGAGGTATAAAAGGGGTATAATAAAGGACCAAAGCATTTTCTTAAATTTAAAATTCTATTCGGCTAAAGAAAAAAAGACCGATTAAATAAATTTAAAAAATTAAACAACAAAGTTATAATTTTTTTGAATTGTTTTTTCCGATTGTTCCTATGGGAGCTATATTTTATACTAGAAAAGACAATAAAGCGACAACTTTTGGGAAAGTTTCAAGCAGATAGCTTTAAAACTAAGGGACTAGTTTGCGTAGAAACGGACGGACGGGCAGATGGACAGACGGACAAGGCAAGATCGACTCTCCTGGTGATGCTGATCAAGAATATTTATACTTTATAGGGTCGGAAATGTCTCCTTCACTGCGTTGCAAACTTTTGACTGAAATTATAATTATATACCATCTGCAAGGGTATAAAAACGGAAAATTTAAAATATTGAGTAAAACATCTCTGACCAAAACGCCACTAATCCAATAACTACTAACCCGTGCTATCTAGTGACAGCGTGGAGCCATGTCTCGACGGTGGCTTCGATCCTTGTCTGCTAAGCGGGCGCGAGTTGGGCTTGGAGCCGGCACGAGAACCTCCTGGCGTGAGACCCGTGCGCGTGCTCGTGTACGTGACCTTGCGGGGCGTGTATCGGCCCGAAGGACCACCGTGGCTACCCTCGTTATCGCTCAAGGAGTCGGGAGTGCTGGCCGAGAGAGAGGAGCGCGATGGTCGCGACATGGGTATGGAGCGAACGGAACGCTCTCGTACCTGTACGGAAATAAACATACATTATAACCAAGATTTATATAAAATTCAGGACCCCCGTGACCCGTATGGAACCGATATTGAACACTCTTAATGGATCTGGTTTTTCTCCTCCTGCTGTATGCAAACTTACCCAGTGTGTTGTTGGATGACAATGTAGTACATGTGGACTCAGCGGCACCGAACGGCTGGTATTGCAACGGACAAATACCGTACCGCCGGCACCCATGTGAATGGGAAAGGCACAAGGAACCTGGTCTTGAGCGCGGATTTTTTCAAAGATTGGCATTAGCTCGGCCAAGTGCTCGTCGGCTAGAGAATCAATTTCGATATGTTTAGCCAACAATGACAGACTTATTTCAGCTGACAAACGGTATATGATCATTTAAGCCGTGGACAACAACCTAACCTTTTTTAATAACCTAATTACCTCATCATGAATTGTGTAGCATCAACTTAAAAATGTCACAAGAACGTAAAAAATATATTTGAATACTTAAAAAACGCGACAAAACAAACATATATATTTTTGCGAAAGTATTCGGTTCTCATGCAGTTTTGTAAATTATATATAAAGAGTCGGCGGCGCAGCAGCGAGAGCTTTTCTTTGTCAACAACACACACACACAACGAACCAATAAATGACGAAAGGAGCACTTACCTTGTGCCCTTACATGATGAGGAGATGTTTGAATGGGTAGTCTTTGAAGCTATGACGGTAGTACATTTTAAAATTGTTTCTTATCTTTTTGAAAGGATTTAGTTTATAGTTTATAATACTATAAAATTTCAGACATGGTATATTAAATTACATAGGAAAAAGGGGATTTTATTCGATGGAGTTCTAAATAAGTTAGAAAGTTAAGCAAGTTAGGAAAGGTATACATTATAGATCTTTTGAGAATCGGCCAAAAACTAATCAGTTTTTTTTGAAGATAGACTTTTCGGCCAAAAACATTTTAGTAGTTATAAATAAAACTAGCTCCTCTGAAGAGGATCAAACAGGATCAATTCCGATTAAAAACAAATATTATGAGAATGAAATGGGTAGAAAAATGGTTCTCCTTTGCTTTCTGCTTCAGATTCATTTGTTTGATTTACCTTGATGATTGGACCCTGTCCACTCATATATGGCGGCAAGTTGGAGCTGCCGCCATTTTGGGCATTGGGTGAGGAGGAGGCAGTGGCGGCCGCATTGGGCGTGGAACGTCTGGGTGTGAATGCGGCCATGCTCTGCGAGACGCCATCGGCCAATATGAATTGCTCACGTAGCTCTATGTTAGTGCGTCCCTTGGCTGCTCCCGGGTAACAGTGGCATTGGTTTTGGTAGCGATTGCAGTTGCAGTGACAGATGCATTTATGCATTTATATGCATTGTAATGGCATATCACCCACATATATTACATATACAGAGATAGGCAATGTTTTGTTGTAGGGCGAACATATAAACAACAACAATAACAACGAAAGTTCGTTACCGCAAAATATTTGTCATAGTTTGTTTTTCAGTTTGTGTGTTTTTTGTTTTAGAATTGTTTGTTGTTTAGTATTTCGGTGTGGGCACAGGCGAGTGCATATCGGGCGTGGACGTGGGCGTGGCGAAGGGGCAGCGCAAGCGAAGAGTATACATATATGTATAGTTATCGGATTCGATTTATCACGTTTCAATCGATTTTCGGTATAATAAAGGAAACCATTTTGAAAAAAAGAAAAAGGCGTAAAACATAAAATTTGATTAGTAAAAAACGAAAAACAAGTAACACAAATTAATACACAAAATTTAAATTTACTTGAGGACGCACAACGAAATTGGTGAAACTTCAAACATAAAATGCGTGACCATAGGAATATTAAGTCTCAACACCCTCGGTTTAAGGTTAAAACTGAGGATGCTAGACTGTTACACAAGTAAAGCAAAATGTTAGTTGTAAAGCAGAATATAATAAGCGTTAAAAAAGCGTTCTGGAATACTGATTTTTCAAGTACATATAACGCAAAAAAAATACGTGAAGAATCCTGGTTAATATAGCTAACTAATAGGAAATAGGTACAATAGGTAGGCAGGATTTATTTGGTGAGCGTTGATGTGTGTTTTATTGACTTTTAGCAGCTAATTGTTACGCAGTTAGATAAACGAAGCGACAAAAATGAGCATGAGTATAGTAAATGGCAAAACCCTCCGCCACAATGGACTTTGGGTTTCATTAGGTTCGATTGTTGATTTTTGTTTGGCTTTGTTATTGTGTTTATGAGGTGGCTTTTGGCGCTGGCTGGTTGGCAAACAAAATCGACACTGTTAAATTTGTTTTAGATTTCATCATAAATAATGATAAGGTTTAAACAAAGGTTTATTTTTCTATGTTCCGGCTTTATTTTGTTTTAGTTACCGGAATTATTTTAGGAGCAATAGATTATTGTTTGTTGGCTTGTTGTTGATTGGTTAAATGACCATATCCGTTTGGTATTATTATTATTGGGCATTAAAATATAATTAGTTGTTAACCACAACTGTACCTAGATGTGATATGAATGCGTTTAAATGAAATGATCAAACGATGCACAGCATCTGGTTATCGACAAAATGCATGATAAGGGTGAAATATTAAAAATGTGGACTACAGGATTACACTAGGATTATATTGTAGATATGGAATGTATGGTATTTGTAATATATGGTATGTGTGGTACTGATGTAGAAAGGATAAAGTCCAACAAATTTTGAAAATGTGTGTGTACGCAACACAACTAAATAGGGTGTCTTGAATAAAGCTTCAGATATATGGTCCACTTACCGCGACAAGGATCGTTCTTCTGCAAAAATTCGTCTAGGGCTACCCAGCCTCCGCCTACGCGTACCATTACAGTGCTGCGAAGAATGCGAACCAAACGCAGCTTCTGGGAGTCTCCAAACTGGTAGATATGGGTATATTGGTTTCACACAGTCAATTATTTCTTTCATTGTACTTACTCTGTATTTTCCCTCGCCAACTTGGAACACTCGGAATTTCTGCCGGCAGGTACACAGCATGACCAGACGTTTGACCTCGTCGTGTATTTTGTCCGAATCATTAGCCGGCTTACGTTCTTGCCAATCGGGACGCAGTGCAGCAATGAACTCCTGCCAGTCGATGAGACCTTCACCGTTGCGATCAAAAAGATCGGCCACAGCCTTCATTTCCAAGCCTGAGGTGTCGAATTCTAAAGAAGTCCATGTTTTAAGTCTAACAGTTTGAACGGATAAAAAAAAGTCTCGAAAACTTACTCGTGTTTATTATGCCATCGATAAAAACATCGCGTGGAATCATGCCGTTGTTGTCCTTGTCCATTTTGCGGAACAGATCCGTCAAGCGCGACTTCTTGTGGTTCATGTACTTGAGGAACTTTAAGTAGATGACCAAACAAATTGAAAAATTCAGTTTATTAGGATCTTTAAATATATTTATACTCACGCGCTTGCGCCAATCGTCCCAGCTGAAGTTGCGGGCACGCTCCACATCCTTCAAATACAAAAGATGATCGTTGAGCAGTCGCTGGCGCTCCCATGAGAGCATCCAAACATCGCGCCACTTGGTCCATAGAAGCTTGGCGCGGGGCGAACGGAATTCCAGTTCCGGTCCCGAGCTGCTAAATTTAAAAATTTAAGATTTTAAATAGGAATTTCTCTTTGAATAACAATATGATAAACCAATTTACTTGCAAACATATGTACAAGAGCACTAGACATGCACAACCTGAGATGATATATGGATGATATTGTTGGTTTTCGAGGACTTACCTTGGCGAAAATCGTGGGCCGTAATGCGGCAGGCGATCCCTGTCGGGCGTGTCACGTGTGGGCGTGATACGACTGCTCAGAGATTTGGTTTTTAGCATAGACATAGGCAAATAAAGTGGCAAGATGCATAGATTGAATTGATATTTTCGAGCGGTATGAGCAACGTTTACGTAGCGTAGTGTGTAGACAAGATGAAAGTAGAATTAAAAAGAGACAAAACAAAACGGTCAAGTAACAAATAAAATAAGCAAAACACAGTAATAATGGCAAGAAACACAGATAATACATGGATAATAACAAATTAAATTGATATATTTATAAATATATCGAATAGTTGTAGACGCAGCAATTCCGAAAGTAGTAAAAAAAAAAGTTGAAAACAAAAAAAATTTCGATTTTAGAATTTTAAAGTACATGCGGAATCTATCTATTCTTGAATTCTGGAGGGTGCAACCCCAATGACAACTCACCTTCCCTTGCGAGCGTTGAGTCCCTGGTCACGAGATCCCTTGAAGCTGTGAACAAAATTAATAATCATAAGATAAAGTTAAAGATTAAATCAAACAAGCAACAGTATTAAAAGCAGTGATTAAGCAGGGTGAATTTTTTGGGGAGTGCTGAATTGGTATGATAAATGCGTTAGCTGCTATAGATTTTAGCGCTACTTTGGGTCATTTAAGGAGTATCAGTATACTGTATATAATGGGGAAGGGATTTTAAATGTTAGGCAATCACTAAGTCCTTTCATGTGTGGATGGTGAGTAAGCACATTCGCCACTGGAAACGTGGATGAAAAGAGTAGCGGGCATTAGAGTATAAACTTGCGGCCAAACCTTTGACGCCTCAGTGTGCCATCGGGCGATTGTTCACGCAGATCGTGACTGGAGCCACGACTGTTGGCCGGTAGTGGTTGGTGTGGTTTTTTGATAGGCAGAGAAATAGGTGTGCAAAACGTTGCGGGGGTATTTTTGTTTGGTTTGGAATTTTGTAGCAATAAGGTGGATACAAAGAAAGTATATAAAAAGAAATAGGCGAAAAAATAAATACACAAAATAAATATATACAAAGAATAAATACAGCATAGCTACAGCTTTTTCAGCATTTTGCCAAAGAATTAGTCTACTCACACCGGCGTCTTTCCGCTACGGGATGGCTTTCGGGCTCCCGGAGGCAGCTGTCTTGGCTTGCAGGCGCGGTCCACCTCGTTCTGGCGGCGGGCCGTATTTTCCATGAATTCCTTGTGGTCCTCAATCAGCTTTTCTACCGGTGGAATCTCGTCAGGCAGTTGTTCGTGCTTCAGGTCTGCAGACGATTTAAATTGGTATCTATTTGGGAGAGTTATTTTTTATTTTATTTCTTACTCAACAGTGTGCCCTCAAGTCCGCTGAGCCAGGCCAGCAACTCCTCAATGGTGTCGTCCAAGTCCTTGAGCGACTGTAAATGCTGCTCCAGCTTCGACTCACGGTTGAGAGCCCACTGGCGGACCTCCTCCCAACGCTGTTGAATGATCGACAGCCAGTTCTTGATGATCGGGATGGCATCAGGATAGGCCTTGTTGATAATGTCCTCCGCGTACTCGAAAGTCTCAGTCTTCTCGCGTTCCCGTAGTCGCAGATCTTTCATGAACTCCATGTGAATGTCCATCATGTCACGCGACACCTTCTCGTCATCAGGCGCATTCTTGGCATATCGTAGCTTGTGCTCCGCATGATCCAGCCAATCGAAGAGTGTTTGGACACGGGCATTAAGCTTTTCAGCATCAACAAGGGCCACCTGGAGACGTTCACCGCGCTTTGCAACGGCACTCTTTACCTCTTCCCAAATGGACTGCATCTCGTCGAGCTGCCGTCCAACTTCGGGATTGTTGCCAGATCGTTCTAGGTCGCGTCCCGTCTTTAGAACGCCTTGCATTTGAGCGGCCCGCTTTTGCAGGTCCTGCTCAATGTGCTTGTGGTGTTCGCAGAGCCCTTGAACCGTTTCCAAGTCTCCGTGGACAGGGCCGTTCTCGTTCAGGCGACTCTTGGCCTTCTTTAGCCATTCGAGCAGCTCACCCAGAGCATCGCTGAACTGTCCGGAAAGGAGCAAAGCCTCCTCCAGCTTACGCTGGCGATCTATGCTCTTGGACCAAACACGGGTCCATTGTTCCTTAAGCTCCAGCAGCATCTTATCTAGCACTGGGCGATCTCCCTTGGGAGCCCGCTCCAATAGATTCTTTCCGGTGCGCATCGTGCTGTCATAGACAGACTGCTTGGCGCCCAGCTGGCGATGAGTCTCCTTCAGCTTGCCAATGTACTTCTTGATCTTCTGCGGCTCCTTGGAAGCCGTAGCCTCCTCGATGATCTGATCCAGCACCTGTTCGGTTTCCTGAAGATACTGCATCATTCCGCTCCAGGCGTCGTTGAATTCGCGGGCCTCTTTGTAGCCATGATCCAGAGCACGAGTGCGTTCCGCGGCCTTGCTTACCACCCGCTCCCAACGATGCTGCACGGACACAAGAAGGTTCTTGATCAAGATGACGTCCTGCTTCTGGCTGAAGTACTTGAGGTGCGTTCCCTTCTTGTCCAACAGCAGCATGGCTTCGCGATGGGTGCTCACATCCTTCTGCAGTACCTTGTGCTCCTCCATTTGAACCTGAATTGTTTCCAGAACGCGAGAGACTGGCTCGGCGTTAGACAGCAGCTTCTCGGCCTGTGTCAGCCATTCTACGAACGCTTGAAGAGTGTCATGGAACTCAGTTGCTTCCTTAAGAGCAATTTCTAGTTTGATCTTCTTGTCAGATGCACGGGATATCACAGCATCCCAGCGTTGCTTTAGCGTTCGAAGTGTATGCTGCAGGTTGCTGGACGAGACTTTCATATGGTTCTGGCGCTTAATGTACTCCTGACCCTGGGCTTGAATTGTCTCTACCTTGGGCCTGTTCTCGTCCAACTCGTTGTACACCTCCATGAAGCGTTCAAGCTGCTCGGTGGCAGTTTCAGGAAGTCCACCCACCGGCTTGCTGGCTCCAATTACAGCGTCGACATCGCCAAGCCAGCCCAGGATATCCTGCACCTCGGCGATGTAGCCGTGAGCCTCGCGCAGAGCCTCCTCCAGTTCATGCTGTCGGTCGCTAGCCTTTTGCAGCAGCTGCTTCCACTCGTTGTTAAGTTTGCGTAGTTTCTCCTGGGTAGTGGAGGCCTCCACAGATCCCTTCTCGGTTTCGATCAACTGTCTGCCCGCATCGTTCAATGTGTCCACTGAGTTCTGGTGGGCCTGAATGTCGTTGGCAAGCACCTTTAGCTTGGCCAGTTCAACCTCGAGCAGTTGCGGGTCTCCAGGGATCTAAAAAAATTTTAGCAATGAGTAAACAATTTGGATTTGCAGATTTTTTAACTTTCTAGTTTACCGGTTTCAGCTGGTCCAGGGTACTATCGGTCTTGTTGATCCAGACAAGTAGCTCATTAAGCGCATGCTGGAATTGACCCAAGTGCAGAAGGGCGTGCTCAAGTTGCTTCTGGCGCTCAACCATGCCACGGAGTAGGCCCTCCCAACGGCGATTGACCACCGAAAGAGGTTCGCGGATCGATGCCGCCTGCTCTGGTGAAGTGCGTTCCGTCAGTTCCACAGCTTGTCTGTAAGATTCAATAAGGGATTAGTTATGGTAGTGATCCAACCTTCTGTGTGCCACAGCAAGCGCAAAAATAAGAGAACAAGGCAAGTGTTTTTTTGTTTTGGCATTACATGCAACAAGTTGAAATGTTGAGATCTAAAAACATGCGTAGTTCAGCTCAGGTTAAAAACCCCGATGATTCCGGATCTCTGCAGGCACTTAATAATTATCCATATTCACAACAACAACTAAAGAACAAACGAAACTTTTTTGAAACTATCTTGCCTTTTAAGACCTCTGCCAATTCACAAGATGAGATAGACACCACAGCATTGAAATATTAGATTTATAATTTTAAAAAGAGTCGATTAAATCTGTACAAAATATGAAGACCTTACCTGTTTAATGCTTCTACTTCAACCATATGCGGATCGACTTCATCCTTGAACGACTTGAGCTGTTCAATCTGTCGCTTAACGGCATCAATGTCCGAACCCACGGCTCCCAAATGAGCAAACTTGTCCTCGGCCTTGGTCAGGAACTTAAGGAGATTTTGCAGCGTTTCGTGGAACTCCATGGCCTTCTCCATGGCGTCGATAAGGTTCTCCTCGCGTTTGGCATATAACGCCGTAATGTTGTCCCAGGCATTGTCCAAATCCTCGATGTGCTTCTTGACTTCTGGCTTGTCGGGTTCACCGCACATGTTCATCAAGTTGCTGCCGTGGCGACGCACTTGCTCCACCTCGGGTTTGGTCTGGTCGATCTCATGACGGATTTCCTGCAGCGCCACCTGTTGCTTCTTGATGTCCTGTGGTTGGGCGGCTGGTGGTTCCTGGCAGGAGAGAGTCTCCTCCAGATCCTTGAGGGTCTTCATCACGCTGTTTAGTTGCTTCCAGAAAGGCTCGGCGACGCTCAAGATATCGTCCAGCGAGCTGCCACGCTTCTTAGTGGCATTCTGCACATCGTTCCACAGGTTGTTTAGCTTCTCTAGTTTGGCCTTGATGTCACGCACCGCGGGATCGGACTTGTTGCCCGCCTTTGCGATCACATCGTTTGCCGCCCGCTGCACAGCACTGAAGGCATCCTGCCGCTTGTCCAGATCGTCCATCAAAGCGTCATTATCTTCGATCTGCTCACGAATCTTTTGCGGAAGGGCGGAAAGAGGATCTAGTTGGTTGACCTGATCCACCGTGTTAGCTAAAGCACGTAGCATGCCCTCCAGTTTGTCGGAGAACTGACTGGATTCCTGCAGGGCACTTTCCAGCGCCTGCTGGCGTTCGCGCAGTTCCAAACGTAGTGCGGCATAACGGGCATTGTCCGTGTCCAAAATCTCGTTGATCTTGGCACTATCATCATCGGCCACCAATGCACCCAAAGCCTCGCCCGTCTTGTTCAACTTGTCCAAGAGTGGCTTATGCTCAGCAATGGATTGCAGAAGGCGCTCGTTCTTATCTTGCTGCAGGGTGATTTGATCGGGCCGCAAAGCCGGCATGCTCAGCCGCGAGATCTGCTGCTCCATGTCATCCAGCCAGGCGGTGAGACCCTGGTGGGAGTCGGCGAAATGCTCGGACAGGGGCAAGGCTTGTTCCAGGATGCCCAGACGCTCGCTGCACAATTGAGCCACCGTGTCGACGATCTCCTTGAGATCATCCAGCTTTTCACGGAGAGTTGCAGTATTCTCGCTTTGCGGAGATTCACGTAGCACCTTCTTGGAGGCCGCCGTAACATCACGTACACGTCCCTTCTGGCTGGAAATGTCGTCGTTGATAGAACGATGCTCCTGCAACTGGGCTCGCACCAATTTGGGCTCCATGGCTGGCAGATCGGCTTCGCGAAGGGTGGTGTCCATTTCGCGGAACCACTCGAGCAACTCATCGATGTCCCCGGTCACTTCCTTGGCACGCTGATTGCTTAGATGCAGACGCTCTGCCTTTCGTTGAATTTGCTCCACAATGGAATCAAAACGGCGGTTGTCACGGGTTACAATACCCTCGATAGTAGCGGCGCCCTCGCCGGGAGAAAGTTGACACAGTTGGGGTCCAACTTGATTGATGCTGTCCAGAATGGGACGCATTTCGGCTAATTCACCCTCTAGCCGGAGCACATCCGCCTGACGGGGTTCACTGGGTGCTAGAGCAGCCTCAGCACTTTGCATCCATTCCACCAAACGGTTGTGGGCTTCATGGAATTGTTGCACCAACGGTAGAGCATTTTGTGCACTCTTCAGCAGATCTCCACCACGATTGGTCAAGTCCCCGTAACGACGCTGCAGCGAGTCCAACTTATCCTTCAGTTGAATGGCCTCATCGTTGGAAATGTGCCTCATCAGCTCAGCTCCGGATTCCACAGTGGATTCCACATTTGAAGCGTGACCGGCAATATTCTCGTTTAGCTCCAAAAGATGATCCATCTGCTCCAGCAACTTTTCAGCGTACACAGGAACGGACTTGAAACGCTTCAACTCCGCCTCCATGCTCTCCATCCAAGCCACCAGATCCTGATAGCTCAAGACCAAGTGACGCAATCCCTGACGGGATTCGGCGAGCAAAGCTCCAATGTTGTCGCTGGCATCTACCAATCCAGTATACCTCTCAGTCACACCGCGCACCTTCTCACCCAAATTCACGGCTTCCTCGTCGCTGACCAAGTGCATCAGCTGTGCGGCCACATCTGCGAGATCCGTAAAGTCAGGCTTCTTGCCCAAAATCTCGTTGTGCAGGCGATCGTGTTCGCGGATGCGCTGCTGGATCTTTTCCTCATCGGTGGGTATTAGCTCTAAAGCTTTAACGGAACGCTCCGTGCTGTCCAGCCAGAGTTCCAGAGGACTGATCTTATCGTGGAATCGCTTAGCGACCTCCATGGCTTCCTCCAGATCCAGCTCACGCTGTTCTGCTCCATCGGTCAAGGCATCAAATCTCTTCATCAGATCGTTTAGCTGCTTCTCAATGGAGGCACGCTCGGCGGGCTCACAATGATTGCCAACCTCCTTGCCGAGATTGGCCAGCGAACCCATCGAGTTCTGGCGATCCAAAAGCATTTTCTTCAGGAACTTTTGCTCCTGCAACTGGGCCTTTACTACTTTGTAATCAGAGCTGGGCGGCTTCTGGTTGGCCACCATCTCTTCGGTATCACTAAGCCACTTGGATAGACCAGCCAAAGCTTCCTGGAATTTTCCAGATTGCAACAAAGCCACATCCAAACGACGATCGCGCTCGTTCATGCGTTCCTTCAGGTCGTTCCATCGGTCATTAAGCTTCTCCAGATCCTTTTCCACAGTTGTGGTGGAAACCCCACTGCCAGCCGAGCGCACCAGATCTCTTCCAGTGACATTGACCTTGTCGACATTGATGGCTAGCGGTTCCACCTTGCGCTCCCTAAAGTTCCGGAAATCCTCTTGCTGGCGACGAATCTGATCCAACTCTGAACCCACTGGCTTCATGCGCTTGAACTCATCGCTCACGTCCTTAATGTCATCCAGAGTTTGAGATTGAATGTCATAGAATTCCCGCAGGGCCTTTAACGTGGCTTGTAGATTGTCCTCATGATCCCGCACTCGGTTTTCCAAGCGACCCAAAGTCTTTCGCAAAGTGGAAATTTGCTCACGGGTCTGTGTCGTGTCCGCAGCGAATCCGGCATCCACCAAAACGTTGGCGGCACGTTCGGCATCCTCCAAACGACCCAGCAGATGATCTAACTTGCTTTGAATCTTGCCAACATCGTCGATTTGAGCGTTGACAATCTTGATTTCACGAGCTGGCGGGGAAAGTTTTTCAATCTCCGTCTCCAGATCGTTTAGATCGATGCTCAAACTCTTCATTTGTTCATTGAACTGGGACACAGCAGTAGCTGCAGATTGTAGTTCGCCACAGCGATCATCCAGGCGTCCTTGAAGTTCCGATATGCGATCGGCCAGGCCGTCGACTTCACTGGTCAAATGATCAGCATCTCCACCAGCAGCCCTAGCCTCAGCACTGATATCCTTGGCCAAAGCCTTAAGCGACTGTAGCGGCTTGCTCAAATTAGTGAGCTCCTCACGAATCGCCTTGACGCGCTCCAGGAGCTTGGGATCTTTAGCTGCTCCACCTAGGGCATCGTGGGCAGCAAGACGATCTTCGCAGCGACCCAACGAGTGATCTAGGTTTCGCAACTCATCATTAAAGTCTCCCAAACGACGAGAGCAATTCTCAATATCATGAGCACGGGCAATCAAATCATTGTTCAGTCTCTCCCAGCGATCACGAATGTCCTGAAGCTCTGCCTTAATCGGTTCCTTGTCGATGTCGCAGCTTGTGAGGAATGTCTCGCCCAATCCCTTTGTGTTTTCAAACTCACCGGAATGCTTCCAAACCTCGCTGCGGAAGGTCTGCAGATCTCGTAGACGAGTCTCCAGCTTCGCCTTAGAAAGCACGCCGGGTGTAAGATCGGTCAACTTATCTTCCGCCGTACGCAACCAGGCGAGGAATGTCTCCGAAGTTTGTGAGTACTTCTTGCAGTGCTCCATGCACGTCTGCAAACGGGTGTGGCGATCGACGGCCTCACGGCGTAGTTTTTCCCACTGCTGCTGGATGCGGTCGAGATCGCGTTTCACGCCACGGTCTTGCTGCTTGTCGGACAGATCCTTGCCCTTGTTGATCAGCATGATTACCTCATGCTCGCGGGCCATCACCTCACGGTAAATCGGTTCATGGGTGTCGATCTGGTGCTGCAATGTGGGTTTGTGGGCAGACACCAGTAGCCTGTCGGTCAGGTTGGAAAGCTCTCCTCCCAACCAACCAAGAGTCTTGGAACAGTTCTCAGCAAAGTGGCGACCATCGCGTAAAGAAGCCTCTGTTTCGGCCTTTTTGGTGTCTAATTTCTTCTGCAGCGTCAAATATTGCTTCTCCAAGGCAGCGACCCGGGAATTAACATCGGCACGCGAGGCGGGATCACCCAGAATGTTGCACAGGGTGGCAGCGGACTGCTCCACATCGGCCAGCAGCGGACGTTGACCTTCAAGCTGGCGCTCTAAGTTTTCGATCTTGCGTAAATTTTCTTGGTGATCGCCATCTGTGGGCAAAGCGTCCAGATTGTCACTGATGTTCTGTAGAGCCTCACGCAGACGATTGACAGCTGCATCAAATTCCTTGGAACTGTCAGCGGCACCACCCAAACTGTTTGCGCGGTCGTCCAGCTTTCCAACCAGATCCTCCCACTTGGTCAGAATGTCCTTCAGTTTCAGTTCGACGGCCTGGGCATCGGGTGTGCCAGCCAGATGGTCCACCACATCGTGACCCAGCTCTTGGAAGTGCTTAAGTTGGGGTTGTTGAGTGCGGAACTCCTCTCGAAGCACTTGGACCTGCTGCACCTGACTTTGGACCATACGGGGATCAGATGAAATGGGCCCCAGGACGGTCAGCATACGTTCCTTGCTGTCCAGCCAGCTCTTCAAATTACCGTGGGTGTCCAGGAAGTCACGCAGTTTTTCGGAGAAAGCAATGCGGTTCTTGCAGATGTCGTTGAGATTCTTCCACTTCTCCTGAATGCTATCATTCTCCTGCCGCAACTGTTCGGCACCGGGTACATCCGATTTGCGTCGCAGGATGTCCTTTACCTGGGCCTTGGTGGTGTCCAGGAGACTCTGTTTCTCGTACATATCCTCCAGGATCTTGCGAGCCTGCTTAATGCACCGCTCGGCTTCATCCTTGTTGGAAACAGATTCTTTGGGAAGTTGGCGCTGGATGCGCTCCAGGAACTGGGCGAGTCCCTTGAGGTTCTCGTACTGCTTGCGCAACTCATCATTCAGGTTGTCCAGCTCATGTTGGCGATCGTTCAGGCGCACACCAATCAGTCCATAGCGATTGTTAATCTCGCTCAGTTGCTGTTGCACCGGAGTCAGCTCAGACAACTGGAAACCGTCCTGGGAGGATCTGCGGCTACCGAATCCACTGGAACCAGTCGATAGTGGCGACAGGATGCCTCCCTTGTTGGGACTAGGGCTTCTCGCGTCTCCCGACATGCGGCGTAGCGGACTGGCCCTTTTAATCGGGCTATACGTGGAGCGTTTGCGGGCAGGACTCTCCGGACGAATTAGCGCATCGTACTGTGATCCTATATCGTTAATCTTGTCAATAGTTGGGGCATAATCGCGGTAATCCTTGCAAATGGGCTTAAGTTCGTCATGCTGTTGTTTAATCCTGTCCAGATCAATGGCCACCGGTGGAAGGCCATTTACACGTGCTTCCGTGCTGGCCAGCCAGGAGAGAACCTGATCCTTCAGGCTCTCATACGCCAGCTGCTGCTCGGCCTTCTGCTTGGACAGCTTGGCGCGTTCATCGATGCTTATGTTAATGTTTCTCCATTGAGATTCCAAAGCCTTGACGCGATCGCGAAGGATTCCGGTATCGGTAACATCGCGCAGACTAATCAGATCCTTGCCATTGCGAACACAATCCTCAAACTGCGGTGCCAGTTGATCTTTGTCGCGGGACAGATCGTTCATGCGGCGAGCCAACTCCTCGGTGGACAGCAGACTGGTTTCACGGCTATCGAGAGCCCCCTGCAGACTGGCCATGCGCTGTTCTACATTGCTGATTTCATCCAGATACTTGCTCAGCCGGTTGTACACGTCATCCAGGAACTCGCCACGCTTGTTGGCCTTCTCGTAGAGTTTCTCAAACTTGACGGTTACATCGTTTAGATTCGATTCCACCTTCTTGGCAATGCGGGCATTCGAGGCGCTGCCCAGCAAATGCTTGGCCGAGATTTGAACGCTATCAATGCTGGCTTGGTGGGATTGAAGGTCGGCCAGCAGGACTTTGTGTTCGCGAATCTGCTCCTGCAGACGCTCCTTAATCAGCGAGGCGGGACGCAGGTTCAACTTGTACTTGTCTTCAGCCTGGTTGACCCAGCCCACAAGACTGTCCAAGGCATCCTGCACGCCCTGGGATTGCACCAAAGTCTTGTCCAGAGTTTTGCAGTGCTCACCCAGATTGTCCAACAGCTGCTGATAGTTGTTCTTTAGATCGGCAATAGGCAGCTCCAACTGATTGACCTCCATTGGACTCAGTTGGCCACCAAGGCTGCGGAGTAGATTGTCGAGGGCCTGCTGGGCATTGTCCACCAAACGCCCATTCGAGAGCAGCTCGTTGTGCAGCGCCTTGGCCTCGTTCATTTGATCCTGAACTCCCTTCGGTTCGCCGGCAATCGGTTCGGAGATAATGCGTGACACTCGCGGATGAACAATTCTCAGCCATTCGTTGGCCTTGTCCAGGGCATCCTGGTACTCACGCTGGCGTCCACCCAAACCGGACACGCGATCCTGCAGAGCGTTGACACGGTTTAGCAGATCCTTGTACTGCGCAGAGACCAGCGACACCTCCTGGCGGATTGGGCTTTCGGCACTGGACAGCGGCTCTACATGAGGCAAGCGTTCAGGCAGCGAAGTGCGGAAGTCATTGAGAATAGCCAGAAATTCCTTGCCCTCATCCACAAACTTCTGGGCGGCCATTGTGATAAAGCGCAGATCGGCCTGGTGACCGATTACGTCGCTCACAAACTCCCGAACCGCATCCGCCTGCGAGGGCAGACGAGTCAGGTCTGTCAGAGAACGCTCCTTGTCCTCCAGAGCCCGTCGGGCAACTTGTAGCCAATCGGAAAAGACATCCAACTCGCTGCGCAGTTTGGTCAGCTCATCTCGACCGGCTTCCAGCCGTCGGAGCAGACGGACAGTGCGATCGTTGACACGATCCACACGGGAACGCAGCTCTCGGCCAGAGTTCTCTAGGGTGGTCACTTCAGGGGCAGACAAAACATCGCCACCAGTAAGAACGATCTGACGGATTTGCTCCAAGCAAGTGGCCACTGGGCGCTGCTGAGACTCGATCTCGTCCTTGATTTGCTGTAAAAACAAGAATTTGAAGTTACGAAAAGTTAAGTAACCCATAGTACCTACCTTCAGGGCATTAATCTGGTTGCGCAACTCATCGATCTTTTCACGAGGTCCACCGACACTCGAGATTTTTTGTTCTACAGTGGTGACCCATTTTAGCAGATCATTGACGTTCTCTTCGCACATATTGAACTTCTCGAATACTGCTTGCTATATAGTAAAGTTATGATAGGGAGGGTAAAATAAAATAAAATGATTAGAAAACACGTAGAGACATTCCTAGCTCGATATGGGTCGTAAAAAATATTGCCATAAATATCGTTCAAATGTCGATAGATAAATGAACACAAAATATATATAATATATAAAATAAAAAATAGCTGAAAAGAAAACATTTTTTGTTGAAGCGATTGCGAGGCATAGACTTAGGGCTAAGTGTTTTTATAGCAAGCATCAAATATAAAAGCAGTTAACATAAACCAAAATAATAATAAAAAAGACATACAAACACCAAGGTTTACTACTTTGGGAAACGAACACTATTGGGGACTAGCAACTACGAGTTGTTTTACGTTTAGTATACACTAACTACGGTTTAATGGTTTTTTGTTTGGGTTTGGTTTTGTGGGGTTGTTTTATTTTGGTTAGTGTTAAATTTGGTTTTTGGGTTTACTTTTTAAATTAAAACTGCAAACGAAATAATATATAAAAAATATTTATATATAAATGCTGAAAATAGGTAGAAAATTTGTATTTAAACAAGATGTAAAAAATAATAACTAAAGCCTGGGCTGTTGCATTGATGCTAGAAAAGGGAATGTTACCTTAGTCCAAAACTAAGAGAAAAGAATAGAAACAAGAGAGAACGCTATAGTCGGGTGCCCCGACTATCAGATACCCGTTACTCAGGTAAAGGGAGTGCGAGGGAGATGGAGATAGAAATTTTGATCACGCATAACTTTTTAACGAATGGTCCGATTTGAAAAATTTCTTCTACATTTCGATAGGTATTGATAAACACAATAAAACTGCATTTTTACTTTTCCGAAATATTTAAATTTTTAAAATCGAATATAAGCGATAGTGGGCGTTAAAGGGGGCGTGGCACCTTTTTGAAACAAACTTGCGCTGCGTAGGAACTCCTAGAATCTGCTTGCAAAATGCCAATCCTCTACCTTTTATAGTTTCCGAGATCTCAGCGTTCATACGGACAGACAGACAGACAGACAGACAGACGGACAGACAGACGGACAGACGGACAGACGGACAGACGGACAGACGGACATGGCTATATCGACTCGGCTAGTGACCCTGATCAAGAATATATATACTTTATAGGGTCGGAAACGCTTCCTTCTAGCTGTTACATACTTTTGCACGAATACAATATACCCTTTTACTCTACGAGTAACGGGTATAACTAGTGATGTGTGGGTTATTTTGGGAATAACCAACACATCCAGTCAGACCATTCTGTAACCGCGTTAAAAAGACAGTTAAAGTTTGGTCTGATCCTACTTCAAATACTGCCTAGTAAAGGGTATAGGGAAATAGAAAGAAGAGGGAGTATGTGTGCGAGTTCGAATAGAAAAAGTTTCGTATACTAGTGTTATAGACAAATCGAGAGTATATATAGAGTATTGAATATGGTGTCCTATTGCCGACGTCATTTATGCGGAGGAGTATGAGACATAACGCATTGCTCTTCGGCCTGACAAAGCACGATCGATGGAGTACGATATTTATGGATGCATGTTTGTTGGATGTGATCTGTGATGCACTCGCTGACTTTGATTGTAATATTGTGGCTGCTTTCGCTTGAGAACTTTAAGCGATCACAGCGAAAAATCTTTATATAGAACATAAAACTGTATGCCATGCGCTGCAATATAAGAGATTTGCAAAATAAAAATAAATATGATTTGCAACGTGAAATTGCTGAGTTTTTTTTTCTTTGTGGAAAGCTCACATCTGGGTTAGTCTGATGAGATAGAGTTTGAGATTTAAGTAGAGACAAAAATAAAGAGAAGAGATAGAACAAGAGCGCACTGATCAAAACGTCTTAACAAAATCGAAATCATATAATCAATATCGATAGTAGAGTATATACCAAACATGCCACGAACAAAGCTTTAAATTTATAATTATAGTAATTTAGCTGTAATTTCTTGCAGTAATTCTGTAATTTCTTGCATTCGCGATTTCGGATTTGATATCGGTGTTGATTGAAATTAAAAAAGTGCACCTGATGTGGACTGAGACTTACCCTCTGTTCTGCCGGCAGGAGCAGACCCTTATCGGCCGCTTTCACCAGGTCGATGTTGTTCTTGGGCTCGTTGGCGTCGATCAGGCGGCCCTCTATGGCATCGATAAGCCCGCTGCTGATGGCAGCCGTCAGTGGGATAATAACCCCACTGCTAGGGTCACGCACTACCGTCGATGACGGATCCACCAGACCCGAGCCAATGGCCTCGGCCAGCGTAAATTTTCGGCGCCGAATGATGTCGGGATGCATTTGGAAGGGGTCAACTAAGCAGCCATTGGTCGGGTTGTAAAGGTTGAAAGTGATGGCTTCTAGCAAGCCAAATGAGCGCTTGGGAGTGCATATAAGGCCGCTCTCGTAGGCCTCTTGAAGGGTGCAGAGCTTTGAGGTCTGGGTATTCAGTACGTTCGCCTTATTGGCATCCATTAATCCCTTACGGAATGCTTCCGGCAAATGTACCAGCTTGGCTTTGGCCAGATCTTTGACTAGCGCAGAGTCGGGATCCACAACGCCCGCACCGGCGGCCTCCTTAAGCGTGTATACCTTGGCCGTTTCGGTGACAGTCAGCGAATCGGTTGCGCTGTCGTCGCTAGCTGGTGCGGATTCAGGTCCACACGCTGGCACAAAGGTCAGCATTCCAGTCTGCAAGTCCAGACACTTGGACTCGGCTGCCTGATCAAAGGTGACCGGTTCGTGAACGTAAACGATTAAAGTAGGATCGAAGGCAAAGTATAGGGCTTTCGGATCCACGAGTGTACGCTTGGTGGTGTCCACGAGACCGCGTTCCACGGCTACCGAGTAAGGGAGGAACTTAAAGTTATCGAAATCACGAACGACCGCGCTCTTGGAATCAATTATATTGTAACGAATGGCCTCCTCGAGAGACATTTCTCGCGGCTTGCTGATCACAACGCTGACAGGTGTTTGTCCCAATAATTCAACGCTATCCTGCCGACGCACTACATCGTTGCGATCGCTCAGTGGCCGAATAATAGTTACCAGAAGACCCCGCGAGAGTGCCACGTCGTAGTTGTAAGCTGACTTAGACTTCGGATCGAATACCCTACCCTTGCTCACATCTATATCCCCGTTCTCAATAGCTTCAGCTAGCGGCAGCTCTTTACCGGTAAGCTGGTTCTTAAATGCGGTCGTCGCGGGATCTATGAAGCCCGAGTGAATAGCTTCAATCAGGTCGAGATATTCTCCGGTGGTTGGATCACAAAACTTACCCGTTTCGGGTCGATAAAGCTGCTGACGCAAGACAAGTTCAAGGCTGAGAAGGCGACGATTGGAGACAATTAAGCCCCTGGCCCTAGCTGACTGCAGATCTATCTGTTCGCTCCCCAGATTATAACAGCCCCGAGAGTCATTGATGACCTGCTCCTTAATAGCATTGGCCAAACGCATATACTTGCCAGTGTCGTGGTGTTTAACCAAACTAGAAGATAAGCTAACCACATCCTCCACGCACGCTTCGTTCAAATTAAGCTTGCGATTTGTTACCGGGTGCAAAACCTTGCGTGTGAGAATGTCATAGAAGTTCATTGATAAAAGTTCATACAGACCAAAGCTGGCATTCTCAATATCCACAATTAGACCTAGACTTAAGGCCTCACCCAGCGGAACAAAACTGTTGCTGCCCGGCTCCCGGAAGACACCCTCTCTCCTGTTGATAATTCCATTGCGACAGGTCTCGCTTAACGTATACATCTGCTCCGTCTGCTCATCAAAGTAGCACGGCAGGTGAGGGTTGATAACAAAACTGCGCATGCCCTCAAGAAGGGTGATCTGGCGACCAGTTCTGGGATCGCTCAGCTTGCCGGTCTTGTCGTCAAAAAGTCCCTGATGTATAGCTCGCTGAATGCTGATAGGCGCATTGACATCCATTAATATTCCAATATCAAAGGCATGCTTGAGAGTCATTGTCTGATTGTTATATAGCAGCTTGGAGTTCTGGCCATCAATGATTCCGGTATCTTTGGCGTGTGTTAAATTGAGTTGCTTGTATAGACCCGTCTTAAAGTCCCTTATCTGTACACTGTGTTCGTCTAGTAAGTTTGTGTTCAAGGCCTCAGTAAAGTTTAGTTTCTCACCCGACTTGGGATCTACAAAGTGTCCATCCACCTCGTCGTAAACATTCTTCACAACAGCTTCAATAAGGCGCAGAGGTTTCTTGACTTCGATTAAAACACCCCGATCGAAAGCATCCTTGAAGTCAATGGAATTGTCGTCGGTATCCCTCACCGTACCCTGTCTACTGTCCACGATTCCCGTCTCGGTGGCCACCCCAAATGGAATGATGATGTTAGAACCCACATTGACGACCGTCGAATCGGGATCGAGTATGCCCCTACGAATGGCACGTTCAGTTGTGAGCTTCTCGCGGGTCATTGTGTTGCTGAACTGACCCGTTTTTGGATCGTAAAGACCGCGGTACACAGCATCCGGCAGACTACGCTTGCGCTTTGGCGGAATGAAAATGCGATTCTCCAGAGCTTCGTGGAGGGACAACTTAGTGGAAGTATACGGATTAATGACATATCCGGCCGTCGGATCGAGATAGCCCTTGGTTATCGCTTCGGTAATGGAAATTATTGACTCTGTCTTCGGATCGAGCAACACCAGCTCTTCGGGGTTTAGGAGCTTTTGGGAAAGGGCAGACTTCAGGTCCAACTGCTTGTCGTCGATGGTGAACTTGGCTGTCAAAGGATCGTAGAGACCACGCAGCAGACAATCGACCAGGGACAACGGCTTCTTGGTGCTAATCAGATAGCCCTTGACGAAGGCCTCGTCGAGACTGATGTTGGGTGAGCTTAGCGTGCCTCGTACGGTGTCCAGCAGACCTACCTTGGCCGCCTCTTTCCCCGGCAAAATTTTGTCATGATCGGCGTCCTTGACCAGGGTCGTGTCAAGTTCCACAAAACCCATTTCGATGGCTTGCTGAAGGAGGATCTCCTCACCGGTGACGGGATTAAGCACCTTGCCAGTGCTGGGCGTGTAATATTCACGCTGCAGCAACTCCGGCAGGCTCCAAGTTACGCTGTCAGTCTTCAACAGACGTTGCTGTACACCCACGTCGAAGGGCACCAGAGTGTTGTTCTTGTTGTCCTTAATTTGACCCGTGGCGGGCAACACCAAATCATCTTCGATGGCGCAATCCAGCTTGACTTCCTTGTTGGTAACCATATCTACAATTAAGGAAATCTTGGGGTCCACTAACCCAATCTCAATGGACTTTTGCACATCGACCTGATTCTGACTCTCGGAGTCAAAGAGTTTGCCCGTCTCAGGATCGTAAAGACCCTTGCGTACGGCGGCCTCCAGAGAGATGGGTTTTCGTGCACCGGCGACTAGGAAGCCCAGCTGGAAGGCTAACTCCATTGGGATCTCCTTGAGCGTCTGGATGTCTATTACCGTTCCCGCCTGCATATCGACCACTCCCAACTCAATTGCCATACGCAGTGGAATCACCTCACCGCTAACCGGGTCGCGCACCGAAATCGACTGGATGTCCAGCTTGCCACTGTTAATGGCCTCAACAATGGAACAAACCCGACCATCGTCAAGCACCACCTGTCCGGTCTGTGTGTCTATTGTCACGTTCTCAATGCCCGATGGATGTTGCTCCACGGGATTGGCCCGGATAATCCACTGGCGTGCAATGCACTCAAAGAATGAAATTTTCTTTCCAGTTTTGGGATCGACCATGTGACCTGTGTGCCTGTCCAACAGTGGACGCTCCAGAGCTGTTGTAAGAGTCTCGTAATTGCCGTTACTAAAATTCTTCACTAAAATGGTTTCCGGGTTGAAAATGTTCATGTCAAATACCAGCGTATGAAAGGAGACCTTTTGACCAGTGCTTGGGTCAATAAAGTACTGATTCTCAGAATCGTAAATGTTAAGCTGACTCAGATTCTCAGGTGTTAGTTCAGTGTCCACGTCCACCAAGTAGGAGACCTGTTGTAGTACAATCAGCTTTTCGTCAATGATTTGCACTTCGTCTAATGGACTTAATTGCTCCTCTTTGAGCAACATAGAAACAGTATGCGGTTGTTGTTCTCCATCCACAATTACCTGGCACTCATCAGGGCTAATTAGTTTCTGGGAAATGGCATCACCAATTGGCAGGGTCCTAGGCACTTCTCGTTTGATAATTGTTTCTACCGATTGAGCGGGCATTTCCATTATGTCGCGGTCCTCATCTTCGGGAGTGCCCTCAACAATTAATGTCGTTATGGTGCTGGTTTTAGTGATTAATGTGGTGGTGCTAGTAGAGATATCCTCTGTCGGCAGTTCTTCCACTGTATTGCTCCTTACTTTAGTTAGGTATTGTTCTGGTTTGAGTGTATTCTCTTGGGTCAGGGAATCAACCAAAGCTTTGCCAGCAAGGACTGGTGCTCCTACTATGGCTAGTGCGCCTAACTTGGCCGCATCCTTAACATTCTGCAAGATTTTACTACCACTTCCGCCCGCTGACTGAGGCTGTTTTTCCAGCTTAATAAAATCAACAAGTGATTGATGTTTGTCCGAAGCAGGTTGTGGTTGAACAATTTGCTCGAGATCATCCGGTTTTGGGGGTATCTTTTCACTGATGGTAGATGTGTTAGTGGTCACTTCTTTTTGTTTTTCAGAATGAGTTGGAATAGGATGCACTTGCTCCTCCACAAGAATTTCCTTCACAGTGTCAATAATCTCTTTAGGCAAGATTTTCTCAACGTCGGTTGTATGTATTGACTCAGTAGGTTCAGTAGGCTCCTCCGCCAGCGTTTCCTGTTCTGTGACTATAATCTTCTGTGGCTGGCATTCCTCACTGGTTGTTGTTGTTGTGGTGATAGTAGTTGTTGTGACTGTAGATACAGTTATAGTGGGCTCTTCGGCAGTATCAACCATTTCATTCAGTGATATTGTACTGCTTTGCTTACGAGAATCATCAGTGTTCTCACTTGGTTTATTCACTTCAGTAGGTTCTTGAACGTTAGATTCCGTAACTTGCGCATTAATAATCTTCTCAGGCTCAGATTTGCTAATCACAGTCACTTCCTCGATCGATGGTGGTTCTTCTATTGTTTTTAAAGTTGTAATGGTTGTAATAGATTGCGAATTTGAAATAGGTTTCTCAATTTCAGTTATAATGTTTGTGCTCGTGGTCTCGGATACTGGATTCACAAAAGGAGCCAATGGTGCTGTAAAGGGAGGTTCGATTTCTAGAATATGTTTTTCCTTACCGGCTCTTGGTGTCGGTTCTGGTTTTGTAGTGGGTTCAAAATGTGTGGTGGCTTCCTTTTGAGTGGTTGGTTGTGCGCTCTGTGATGGCTCCGAATTTTTCTCTTCCTTAGCCGCCGTCGAGTCCTTTTCAACTGGCTTGAAAGTTGCTTCTTTTTCAGCGGGTATGGGGATGGTCTCAATGTTACTGTCTTGTGACGACGACTCGTTCTTAGCTGGCTCTTCAGAAGTTAGTTCCTTCCTTTCAAGCATAGAATCAATCTCCTTAGATGAATCTGTGTTAATAGTCTCTGTTTCTTTGAAATCTTCTGTTTTATCTTCTGACACGTTATTGGACTTCTCAGTGACTTGTTCAAAAACTGGATTTTTCTCATCAGTGGTGCTGGTCGTGATGACCTCCATCACAACTGGCTCTATATTACCAGACTCTGTTACCGTCTTTGAGGTAGTTATTGTTGTGACTGTTGAAGTGTGCAAAGGCCTTGTTGATTCATCTACAGAAGCTTGCACTTCCTCTCGTGACAGCTGTTTGGGCTCCTGCTGCTGATTTTCGTTGGCTATAAAGTTGGCAGTTGTTGAGCTTATAAAGTTTTCCGTTTTGTTAAAGAGATTATCAACATCTCTTGGCACTTGTTTCGGCTGTGGCACATTTGGACTCTCCTGGTTAATGGAGCTTATTTGAGGTTGTCCTGGTTGTACAGTGATCTTGGCATCTTCCGAGGAGCTTTTTACAGACTTAATGAGACTTTTGACGCCACTCACAATAGCACTTCCGGCCAGTACAGGAGCTCCTATTACTCCTAGTGCCCCCAATTTAGCGGCATCTTTTACATTCTGCAACGCCTTTGAAGGCTCTTTGCTGCCCTTTATTTCGGCTTCATTTAAATTTGCAATGGGTATTTCCTTCGTAGATTGTGTGGTACTGACTACTTGCATCTCTTGCTTGCGGGTGTCCGAACTGACCACCACAGTCTGTGTGCGCTCCTCCACTACCAAAGTTTGATCACTAGCCAGAGTGGCAATCGATTCTGGACTATCTCCCGCCGCCGCCTTGGTCTCTCGAGTTGTGGATTCTTCTCGAAGGATTCCCAGTTCTTTAGCCTCTTCCAAGCTGCATACTTCGCCGGTGCTAACGTTCTGAACCTCGTTATTAGAGATTAGAACATAGCCTTGCATAAGTTCAATAGTCTTGGTGGTCACCGTGTGAACGGCACGGAGTGTCTCCATGATCTCTGTGTTGGGGGTAGGTCGCTGGGTCACAACAAATTCGGCGAGATTCTTAACCACCAGAACACCCATCTCCATGGCTTGCCGCAGGGGCACACGTTCCCCTGTGTTTGGGACCGTTATAGTTTGGGCAGCCACATCGATGAGATCTCGCTCCATTGCAGTTACTACGTCTATAGCATCTGGCTTGGGTGAATAGGGAATGGACATGATAAAGTTCTCATCGATAGCTTGCTTAATGGGCAGTGCTTTTTGCGAACTTGGATGCAGGATTACACGCTTTGACGGCTCCACAAGGCTCTTCTCGACAGCTACTGGAAATATCATGCCCACCGGCGGAATTTCTACCTTAGACTTTTTCTGATCGTAAGTTGGATCGAATAGATTTGCCTCTATGGCTTCGGTGATGTTAATGATCTTATTCTTGTAGCTAAATGTGGAATCATCAGCGTTGACGATACCCTTTGTGATCGCCTCTTCTAGCGTACACTTCTCTGGCCTATGCAGTTTCGAATGCGGATCTAAAACCTCGCATACGATTGCCTCATGGATGCTCAAAGGATATCCACTCTCTGGATGAATAATAGTCTGGCCTTGCGGATCAATTAATCCTTGAGCTGCCAGCCGTGGCACAGATAAGCTCTTGGCCAGTGGCATGAGAATATGGTTGGTCTGTTCAGGATCGAGAATATTCTGTTTGACAGCTTGCTCGAAATTCAGCACTTGATTGCTTTGGGGGTCAATGATATGACCACGACGTCCATCAATAAGACCTATGTTTAGGGCCTCGCTGATATTGACCACCTCGCCGTTATTGGTAAAATTTTCAGTGTTTTCGAGAATCTCACAGGTATCTTCATCAATGATTCTTTTGCGCACGGCATCCTTCGGCTTGAGAATGATCTTGCGCATCCTCTGCAGCACCACCACCTTTTCCTCGACCGTTATTGGTTCACTGTCAAAGGAGTGTCCGCGTTGCAGCTGATCGCGTGATACAATTCCTCGCTCGTAGGCCACTTCCACTGGGATTTGTTCACCGGTCCGTGGATCGGTCACGAAGCGCACTGTTCTCAGGGCTCCTTCGGCGGCAACCAATGGGGCACCCACTACACTAAGTAGACCCAGTTTGGTGGCTGTGATTAGGTCAACAGGCTGACCCTCGGAATCGAGAATTGTAGCGGTTTTGGGATCGTAAATAGAACGCGCTATCGCCTCAGTTATGGAAATGGATTTCTTAGTTGTGGGATCCACGATCTTGATTAACTGTTCGTCTATCAGACCCTGGCGAGCGGCATCAAAAATGTTCTCAGTCTCTCCGGTTTGTGTGAAGATAACCAGAGCTGTGGACGGATCGTAAATGGCGCCGGGGGCAATTTGCAGTGGCTCTGGAGAGGCGAGCTCTCGCTGGCAGGTAAGTACCTCTAGAAACTTGGGTGGGGCATCCTTTAGAGGTGTAGAAACCTCCAACACATCCGGCATGTTGTTTACCCTAGTGATGCGAAGAATTGTCTTTTGACTGGAACCTCTCGTAGCCGGCACCGTCTCCAGGATAATCTTGCTCTCGTCAATAGCATTGCGCATGCCCTGCACTTGTTTTCTGCTATTGGTATAGTTTCCATAACTGTCTATAATATTACGTTCGAAGGCTGACTGCACTGAGATCTTATCTCCGGAGCTGGGATCAATTACTGAAACCGAAAGGTTGTTGATGATCTGTTTGTTGATGCATTCCTCAAAGTTGACTAAACGATCCGAGCCTTGCACATGGAACACTCCCGTATCCGGGTTAAACAGCCGCTGCTCGATGGCGTCCTTTAATCGCCAACCTCCTGGAGGTAGTTCCATGATTTGACGCTCCGTCACATTCTGTTCGATATACCTGCTCTTTTCCATGTTTATAAAGTCGGAGACCACACGCTGGGGTTTAACTAGTTCTTGGGAAATGGGAATCTCCACCGATTTCTCTACGTACTTAGTGTGCTGAGTATTAAGCTTAATGGGCTCTGCTTCTGGTATGATCTGCTTCGTCACAATGGTGATCGTGGACTTTGTCTTCTTCCTATTCGTTGGCTCCGGCACAGTTTGGTTGCTGTCGGGAACTAACAAACCGTAGTTAAGAGCCTGCTGTACTGAGTAAATATTGCCTGTTTTTGGATCCTTGAAAAGCTGCCTTTCCTCGTCGATGAAACCTTGACGCACTGCCTCCGTAAAGGTGAGCAGCACACTGTTGCCTGGCTCCTGGGAACCGGCCCTGATTGTCACATATCGATTGATCGTCCTCGTCACCGTCTCTGTGGTTAAAGTAATGTTAAGCAAACTACTCAGGAGAAGAGCACCCTCCGGAGTAATAAACTTTCGCTCGATGGCGGTATCCAGGGGTACTGTCTCTTGAGTCTTGGGATCCAAGAGGTATCCCGTCTTAGGGTCAATCAGATTGTGATAGACCAAATCAAAGACACTAAGTTCATTGCCACTGGCATTGTGAACCCCGATACCACGGCTGAACATCTCGTACACCTCTTGGCGCACCAAACCCTCACTTACGGCCACCTCCAGTGGCACCAGACTATCCCTACCTGTCTCTAAGGCAAAGCCCGTGCTTTTGCGACGCAAAAGGTCACGTGAAAGGGCCACATTAAAGCTTACATAGTCATTGCTTCTCAGATCCTTGAACCCGTCAATGTCGAAGATAGAACGCTGAGTGACCGAGCTGATCAGACCGCGTTCTACCGCCTCCGGAATGTTAATTAGTTCGCCGGTCATAAAATCGCGGTACTTGCACTCCGCCGGCAGTACGATACCGTCGGCAATGGCCTCTTGAAGAGTGACCAATTCACCCTTTCGCTTGGTGATGCACTTGAGCAGATTCCCGTCCAGCACACCGGCTTCCATGGCCTGCATGATGGTAAGTTTCTCGCGTCGCATTGGACTCGTGATCTGTGCCTGCTTGTCGAGCAGGTTCAGGTCGCAGATATCCTTCAGCGTGTACGGTTTAACGATTAACTGACGGTTGCGCGCCTCCGCGAAAGTGAGCTTTTCCTTGGTCACCTCGTTCAGGTACCGACCCGTTTTGGCATTTAGGACGCCCGACTGCAGTGCCTCCTGCAGTGTGATCTTCGTATCGCGTTTCGCGTCCACCACTTCACGCACATTCGCGTCAATTAGCTGATTGGCAATGGCGGAGTCCAGCCGGAACTTGTCGCCGGAGTTACGATCCGCTATCCAGCCGGCACTATCGACCAGGCCATGCGCAATCGCATCGCTAAGGCACAGCGCATTCGATTTGATTGTCACCGACTCGTGCCGAATAAGGTAGCCCCGCTCGTAGGCCTCCGCCAGGCTGATCGTCTGGCCCGATTTGACACGATATAGGCCAGTCTTGGTGTCCACACTCCCCGCAGTAATGGCGTCGGCAATGTTTCGCGGGTTCTCGGGAGAACTGAGTTCTCCAGAACTTTGTTCTACGGATATCGTATTGTTTACCTTGATCCGCTTTTCGGCCGTCTCGTAACCGGATTCCGCTTCGCTAATCACACGCTGAATAACCTCCAGCAGCGACAGCTCCCGCCCGCTCTCATCTCGCCCGGCACCGGGCTGAAGCAGTTGCCTGGTCAGCTGAGCATCAATCAGACTTTGGTCGGCCGCCTGATCCAGTGTGATGCGACGGTCACCCACTAACATCTCGCCAGTACGCACGTCCAGGATGCGTAACTGAATGGCCTCGCCGATGGTCAAAACGCGACCCGTACGTGGGTCACGAATTCCGGCTATATCCAGCACAGATTGGCCGCCCAGCTGTTGGGATCGCTTGAGCGTGCGGATTTCGTTGAATTGGATCTGCGACTGGGGCACTTTAATGGTGCTACCCTCCAGACTAGCGGTATCCAAGTCATCGCTATTGTAGACGCTCTTTGTAGAGCTTTTCGTTGTCTTCGTTGAGCTGAATCTGCAAAAACCATTTGTAGCCAATTAGTCATTCGGGAATTCATAAAATTTTTTAAATTAATGGTAGTCAAACATCACTCTAGTCATGAATTCCTTAGAATTTATTTTAGTTTCGATATGAAATATTTTAATCTACACTCGAAATAACACATGAAGTGTTAAGTTTTAAAAAATAATTTAACTCTTCATAACAGTAAGTTTAATAAACAAATAACTTAAAGAAATATGTGAATTTCAAACTTTTAAAAAACTTTTCCAAATAAAAAATCATCTTCATCTGCATTTGGAAAATATTTATGGTTTTGATGCATTTTTCATAAGTGAAGTTTGATTTTAGATTTACTCACTGTGTGGTGCTGTAGGTAGTGGTGTAGAGATCCTCTTGGCGCGCAGTGTAGCCATCGCCAGTTGGCACACTGCCCGCACTGAAGTCAACCCTAAAGGTCTTGAGCGGTTTCTGTAGACTCTCAGCGTATTGCTAAATGGCAAACGAAAGCGATTTCGGTTAGTAAAAGTCTACAAATGTGATGGTATATTTGAGCCGTTGGAGACTTTGCGAGGCGGGCAGCAGGAAGGAGGGAGGATAGATGGAGTATTACCTGAAACTCGAATGCAAAGTCGTAGTCACTTTCCTCTGCCACTTGGACAGTCGTGGTTTGGGCTTTGGATTTGGTCGCCTTGAGACCTGATCTATGCTGAGGCATGTCTAAGGCTTTCGTTTGGTTCAGTTCAACAAAGTCATAGTCAGCAATTGGGATTTGTTTCGTTGGACTAGGGGCTTCTTGAATGCACTGCGCGAAATTTAATTGTGATTTATAAATTAAATTAAAAAGAGATTTACGAGCTACGGTTTTTAGATAGACGCGTCTCTTTGATATTGCCCGGGAATGTTTATGTCAGGTGTGGGAGTAATTTAATATGGCCGCGAGATAAAAGACGGTAATAACGCCACTAAAAAAAGTTGAAGAGTATCTGAAGCTATGAAACAACGGTTCACGATAGTCGTCATTGGACTTAAGTTGTCAACCGGTCTTTTCTATACTTTTCTTTTTTTTTCACTTAATCGGTTCACAGGTCCTCCGCCCCACACACAGGGATTCATTATTATCAGCCCCGAACCGAAGCACAATAAACACATATAGTAAAGGCAAACGGAAAAAAACAAAAACACAAAAAGCAAATCCAAAGCCTTTATAAAAATAGAAATGACGCTATACAGGGAGAAGGCCTCAATCGCTCTGCAAATATGTAGTTCAAACTCTTTCAAGAGGCAACAATAATCATATATAAAACGGATAATTTCCCGGAAAGAGTTCTTTGGTTGCATTGGTATCCGGAGTGAATTTTATCGGGCATCTGGTAGAGGCAGTAATTGCAAATGTCTGATATATTGCTGCAGGTCGTAGACTTAACTTTAAATTGCATTGACGTCATCTAAACAATTATAAGAGGGCTGCAGATGAAGTCATTAAATAGCGACTCCACAAAAGTAATCAAGTTTTTTGATTTGAATTTTTAAAATAAACAACTAATCTCTTTTTGCTGCTGCGGCTTTTCAAGGTTGCCCTAGAGTTGGTAAAAGCAAAAAAAAAAAATTATAAATAACGAAACAAAAAAACATACACAGACACACATTTAGACATTATATACGAGTACGAGAACAATGATGTCATCAGAGGGGCGAATATTTGATTATAAATGGAACAAGTTTGTCGAGAGCCCGTACAACAAAAATTAAAGCTAAGCTAAAACAAAATATATTTCTCAATGATTTCTTGTTCAAGTTTTTATAAGATTAAACCGATTATTGGCCTTAATCGACTGTGATGCACTTGACACTGATAACAAGAGTAATACGCTACGTTATGCCGGCTTTAAATAGGGGTAAGAAAGCACAAAGTAGAGAGAAAGAGCTTTAAAGAGAGCGAACTGCATGCAGCCTGCAATTGGACCTCGCCTATGCGGCATCACAAAAATAGGCACCTTTATTTTGCTTTAGTGGAGGCAAAGACCCCGAAACGTTCGCTTTCATTAAAATGCTGCTAAAAATATATATATAAAAATTTAAAGCAGGCAGACAGGAGCTAGTTTAATCGATAAATCACTGTTGTGTTTCCTGAGAATCAAGTCGCATCAAATCGAATCTAATGGATTGCACCTCATAGATAAGATTAGCGTCAGCTCTGACACTTCCGCGATCACGGTTATTAATAGGACTTCAAAATTCTAGCTAGTCACTGAAATAATGAAGCAACAGAGTTTCCACATTTTTTCAGTTGTAGTTTTTAATGCATTTTTGCAATTCGTAATGTTCCAAGCTCGCTGACTCACTTCCAAATTTAAGTCTTAGATTGTTTTCTTGCTTTTTGTGTGGGCCCTTTCAATGACACAAAACAGACTGCCGAAAATATCAACATTCCGATTCTTGCAATAATGTATGTTTTGTATTTTTGTTTTTATACTCTTTTGTTTGCGATGATGTTATATTTTATTGGTTGCAAAGCACTCGCGTGACTTCATTTCGGGCTATAATAAATATAACTTTCTGCGGCACTAATTGGAACGTGGTGAGGCGGCGGCGAATTTAAATTCCTATCAACAAAAAAAGTTGACCAATGCGACGCGGTTCGCATTTAATTGAAATTTAAGGCATCGGGACTGCGACGGAAACACTTTCTATTTGACCGTATAAGTGACATCATGTCTGCCCATGCGGCATATTAGCAACATTCTGTCTTTGAGAAGTTGTTTGCCTATTTATTTATCACATCTATTCACTCATAATTACACGCTCGATTCGAATTCAAATTCCATAGACTTTGGTTGCCAACAAAACCAGAAGTTTCAAAGGTTTTGGCCTTTGTTGAATTTCGTTCACCGGCAGCAAGACGGCACACAAAGCGCTATGCGACGTTACACAATCAAGTCGCTTTCGGAACTGAATGAGACAGTGCCACCGAGTAAATCAGTTTAGCAAGTAAAGAGCGAGCTTTTAAAGATGCAGAGAAACAAGTGCCAGGGAGAGAGCTTCCAAATGCCGAATAGTTTTTAAAGAGCATGCCCCAGCTGTTGCGCCAAAAAAACAATCTATTTACAATAACCTGAAAAATAAAAATATGGGCATGGGAAGGGAATAGCGGAGTTGGCTCCAATTAATGTTGAAAACAATACATGGAAGTAGTGAACCAAGTATTAGAAGAAAAGAGAAAACCAGTTTGTGCCGCCATCTAATCTTCTAAGTAAAAAAATTTTTTTCGCTTTTCAGTCTAGTTAAGCCAGCAGAGATCGTACGTCCGCCCCTGCTATGCATATCAAGTTAGGTTGAAGGCGAAGTGGTAATGGAGCAGTTATGATGTCACTTCAACACTCGAGGCGAAGGCAACACCTTCGAAAAGCCTCGATTGGGATCTATCTAAGCAACAATTTCGGCTTTGAATTAAATAACTACACAAAAAATATATACTTTAAGCTAAATTAAAGAAAATTTTACAGAAGAGACATTTTACTACAAAATTACATGACGTGTTTTTTTGATTTTAATACACCTCCTATTGGCAAATACGGTACTTTTTTTTAACTTTTGGAAAAAAATATGTTGTTTTTAATATTTTGAAAAACTAATTTGTTTATTTGAATTATATTTTCTCAGTTTAGTAGTAATGGAGATATTACTTAAAATATTAGATCTCATCAAATACAAACAAATCTAGTAGATATCAAGGAAGCGAACGTTTATTTATGTGAAATATAGGCAATCACTAATCAGCTAAATATTTAAAAGAACGTATTTAAACAGCTTTCAAAAATTTGGTCGGTTATAAAATGTTTAATTGAATTTCTTCCAAATGGAAAATAAATAAATCTTAAACCAGTTAAACAAAAATTGCTTAACAAAGAGGAGACGAAAAACAAAAATAAACAGAGTGGCGACAAAGACTTTAATGATGTCCCCTGGCAATGAATTCAAGTATATAGGAACAAATCCGACCTTATTAACATTCATAGAATTCGTCATTTTTAATTTCGAGTCTCTGTATTCAATTTGCCTAATTGGTCAGGCTTATAAAATTGTTCATCGTTCAAACTCCTGAAATAATGCAATATTTATATAAATAAATATATTTGAAGCATCTATCAAGTTACTGCATCAATTGACAGAGCAAACAAACGGCGGTCTTGATGATCGCATAGTATTTGCATTTAAAAGCTTGACTTGACTTGTCTGTAGATAACGAAACGCATAAAACTCGTTTGCTGAACTTGAACCCCGCTTAAAGATTACGACACAATTGAATACTCTGAGCCTAACCCCAGCCAACGAGGGAAATACAAATTAGGCGCTGACGTCACCTCGCAAAGATCCTTTCAAAGGGTTTTGGGGTCACCTGGATTACTCACCAGACCATCGCTGCCATTGACTTCGATTGCAGTTTTTAGCCTCTGTGACAGTTGTTCCAGCAATCTGTCGTATTTCGTATTAAGGTTGTCCAGTCGTTGGCTGTAAACCTGTGTTGTACCCGGATCGCTGTCCGGCGGCCGGAGATCCCGGCGAGGCGGCGAAAACGACGGACGGGCTTCGAGCACCCAGTCCACGAAGCGTAGACATTTACTATCGTAGATCTACTCCCGAATTTAATGGTCCCACGTTGACATTGATGTTTTGTTGGTTAATTTCGGTTAAATGTTAGTAAGATTGTGAGTTAAACAAATTCGGTTTGTTTTTCAGGAGGTAAGGGAAGGTTTGTTGATATATTTAGTGCTTTTTATTTTATTGATTAATAAATACCAAATAACTTTTAAGAAAAAAAATGGTTTTAATTGATTTATTTTGTAAGTTTAGTTTTATTGGTTTGTTGATTGTGTTTGAGTTTGTTTGTCAGGCTGTTTCTGTTTAACCGGAATGTTATTGACGCACCTTTACCCGGAAGATAACTTAGATTTGGAGCTCTGAGTCCAGTAAATGGTTTAAAAAGCATTAAATATATATTCAAGAGTCGATAGAGAAAAAGCTAAGATGTATATTATGCTAAATAGTGTTTTCTTTTCGAAATAGTTGGAATTCGCTGTGTTGTCGAAATATTCACAATCGGCCGACACAGTAGATGCACTCAGTCACCAACTGACCTATCGTAACCGAACATTGGGTAGCCCTAGGCTTCGAATCGTACGATAAACGATCGGAGTCCCTTTAAATGAAGCCAACGGTTACGATGGGCCAGCCCTCATAAGATCAATCACACAACTACAGGCATACAAATTTTTACCTTGGCTTCGCGTATTAGTCGTCCTCCAGTTACGTTGACATTTTCGATTTTTGGTTTTCGTTCGATTGCAGCTCCGAGCAGTTTCTATAGGTTTCGAGCGGTGTTGTTTGGTTTTTGATATTTTTAGAACATAATTGTTTTTTTTTATATAATTTTTTGGTTTATAGTGTGATTGTTGTGTGAAAAAGTTTAGTTTTTTTCGGTAAAAATACAAAAAATTAGACAAAAATACATATACAATTAGTTTTCAACTACAAATACGAATACTGGGTGAATAAATATAAATATGGTGGCCCATATCAGTTGATATCGGCCTATGTATAGGTGAAGCTTACAAATCTAACAATGCTACAAACATAGCAAAAGTTATGTTTCAAGACTACTACACAAATTTGATATTAATTAACAGTGTGGTGGGACAGGGCGATATCGCTACGGACTACGTATATGGGTATTTTTGTGTAGGTGGTCGACTTGGCCACTTTTGGAGGTCTGTGGGCTGTGTATATATATGTACATATGGTATGCTTGTGTGGGTGGTGGCCAGAACTACATGTCAAATATTGCTGTTGGATTAGACAAGAACTACTGCAAAAATAAGCTCAACAGACTGGACATTTTTTTCTTAGCTTTTGGGGACAGTTAACGAATGAAAAGTGAATAAAGACGAAAAACAAAACAGAAATACACATAAAAAATATATATATAGAAATACTAAGACATGTCCAACACCGGCGGGTTTTTTCGCAACAAAAAGTAGGAGGAACAACTGTAGGAAGAACGACTGTGGGAGCAAACTACTTTGGACGTAAATCAATAACTACTTCAGTTTCCAATTATTAACTATGTATATATACTCGCTCACGGAGCGAGGTCGCTAAGACTGCTTAATCTGTGCAAAACTGTACAAGGATCTAGGGCTAGAAACTATCGCTGATCGGAAAGGCAATTAAGTTATTACAGGGGCAGCGTCTCTGTACTCACGTCTAGTTCGTACGCCGAAGTGGCGGTGGGCATAGCAGACAGTCGTTCCGTGGTGCCATCCACCCATGACTCCTCCACTTGCACGCTCGACTGGAGATTCTTTAGTAGTCCGATAGCCGTTTCACATGAGCGCATTCTTAAAAAGTAGAGTGACACGGTGTTAGCGAGACAGGTTTACATCCATTTGTGTCCGCCAATGAGGCGACACACAAATGGAAAGCAGGTGGCGCCAGTGTACTAACCTTTCGCCCAGTTGGTTGCACACCGCACTCCAGCGCGTATTCAGGCGCTCCACGTTCGAGTGCAGGCGCTTGAGGTCACCCAACACCTTGGTGGGCACACCCATGCGTCCCAGCTGATCAGCAGCATCGTTCATTTTGTCCATCTGCGGCTGCTGCTGTGTGATGATATCCTGCATGTGGTTCAGCTTCTTGAACACCTGCTGCAGGCCATCAGCAGTCGATGGCAGATCCTGGTGCCTGGCCAGCTCGTTCTCCAGCTCGGAAATCACATGCTCATTGTCCTCCAGGCCAGCCAGCGAGGCTTCGAGCAGCTTCAGGCGATCCTTGTGCAGGCCGCTCTGGGTGTTAAGCTCTTTCCACAGCTCCAACAGGTTGTCCAGACTCTTTTTTAGCACAGGTGTCTTCAGGGCAATCGTGCGGAAGGTCTCTTGCAGATGCTTCAATTCCGGCTCCAAAAGTTGCAGCCTGCGCTCGTAATCCGCATGAATCTCGAGCACATGCTCCAGAGAGTCCAGATCCCGTGGTAACGGAGCCAGTATAATCTGATCCAGCTCACGGGCCATGTCTTCTAGTTTGCCCTTAATGGCAATGCATTCCTCGGTGAAAATGCGACTTGCCTGCTTGCTTTCCTCTGTGAATGTTAAAGGGACGATTAATATAAATAAAAAGTAAAGAGCTCGTTAAGGTTAGATATCCTTAAAACTGCCAAGATTACCCCTTGTTTTGACACTCGCAAAGAGCTTCTTCATAGTTGCCTAGGTTTGACAAGACTAAGTCGCTTCCTGGCTTGCCACTTGCACCAAAGCAAACTTGCCCCAGCATTAAATCCAATTAGCCTCCATCAATTAACTGTTTTGGACAGCTGGCGAGCGCCGTTAATTGAAAGCGAGGCGAAAACTATATCCTACCCTTCAAGATCCCATGGAAATACGAATACTCCCACACTCACCTTCAGCGCGAGCTCGCTTCTCGAACTCATCAAACAAGCGATTGACCTCGTCCATTTCGCGGCGCAGGCGTCGCAGCTGCGGATCGTTGGGATCGCCCTCGCTTAGTAATTTGTCGGCATCGTCGTTGAGGGCACGTCGAATGGCCGTACGCTGCTCGGGTCCCATGGCCAGGAACTGGTCAAAGTCCCAGCCCTTAACCACGCGAATGGTGGCGAAGATCATGTTTTGGCGCAGGCGAAGATGTTTTTTCTGCCAGAGAGCCACGGACCGATCGAAAAGTCGCTTCAGACGTTCGGCGGCATCAATGGCCTCCTGGTCTGGAGGCGGCAGCAGCAGGCAGGCACCGGGGATTGGACCCTCCTGGCCCTTGGCCGTGCGCACGCGCCATTTGACACGTCCCGAGTTGTCCAGCAGGGTAACCGTCTCACCCTTTTCGATCTGCAGCTGACCCTGCTGTTTGTAGGCACAGATGGCCTGAACGGGTCCCTGACGATTTACCGGCTGGCGGCGCTTGTTTAGAGGCACCACCGTCTGAGCCCTTCTCTGCAGTGTGGCCACTGTTTCGCCGAAGGCATTTAGCTCCTCGCGCAAATCCTGCATTCCCCTCAACAGAGTTTCACCCTGATCCAAGCCAAAGTCTGATTGCGAAAACTTGCTATTGAGTATTTCGTCGCGCTTAGCCAACCACTGCTCTGCATCCTTGATCTCGCCAAAGAACTGATGGTACTCGGTTGCGTGTTTTAAGTGAACCTCTAGGCAGAGAGTAAGCTGCAGCAGCCAAGCCCACTGTTGTTGCAGAGCGGTCAGATGGGCTTCGATGCACTTGGAGGCCGGATGCTGTTGGTTTAACAAGGCCTCTCCGCGATCCAGTATGGTGGCAAAGTGCATCTCACGCTTCTCCAGTTCGGACATAAGGTTCTGGGGGAATCAACAGAAAATTAATCAGACAGTTGTATCAAAAGAATTCGAGTAGTGCACTTGGTTGGTTGCTCTTTTTTGTAATATACAATTTCTTTTGGTATTTATCAACCAATCGGAATCTTACCTCGTCGCCATTACCAAATGCACGCTTGTAAAATAGAAGCACAACACATATATAAAACTAGCTCTAAGAGTATCTCAACCGCGACCGTCATAACTTACCTCGTAGTATCTGTGCACGGAGGGAAGATCGAGTTGTTTGTCCGCCCAGTCACGTGTGATTTCCACCTGTTCCTTCTCATTTAGCCACTGCAGTTCCGCCGACGCCTGTCCCAGGAAGTGCTGCAGTGAATCCAGATCGGAGAGACGTTTCGTTGAGGTGCTGAGTAGCTCAGCGTAAACCTTTTGCAGCTGGTTGAGACGCTGTTGGTAGAGGGCCAGCTCGTCGCCGGAGAACTTGGTCTGCTGGCGTTCATCATTGAGTATTTTTGTGTGGAACTGGTCGATAATTTTGTGCTCGTGCTGTTGACGATCCAGTTCTTCCTTGACTGATGGCAGGTCACTGCCATAGTCAGCGGCAAGCAATTGTTTCTAAAAAGAAAATAGACAATTAAATGAAACCCAACATTGGATCTCAGCTCGCGGTACTTACCAACTTGTTCTGGCACCATTCAATGTGCTCTTGCAGATCACGGAAATGGGGATTCGTGTCGATCTGACGGGACTCGACCACCATGCGCGTTTGACGCGTCACCGTGGTCTCGTGGACGGGATACTTCAAACCGGACAGCTTCTGTACCAGGTTTGTGTGGAAATTGGTGCGCAGTTGAGCCCAGCGCTGGTGCAGTTTGTTGACCTTCTTGTGCAGCTCGCTAACATGGGGATATCGTCCCTCGTTGAGAACGTGGCAGTCCTGGTTCATGTCTTGGATGGGCTCCTCCAGGTGCCGGATCTCGGTTTCGAGTGCCTCGACGATGCTCTTGGCGTCCACAGGATGCAGTCGATCGATACGCCGCCCCTCTTCGCTTATGCGCGTCTCTAGATCGGTCAGCTTCTGATCCACATGCTTGATCTCGCGCTGCACCTTGTCGGCCAGTCGCTGTAGCCGTTCCAACCGTTCGATCTCCTGCTGCAGAATGACCTCTCGATCCTGGAGCGCCGTGTTCATGCGATACCAGGCCTTTTCAATGGCATCCGGCCGCAGTTCGGCCTCCACATCCACTTCACCCACCGTTTCGAAATAGCGCTCAAGCTCCTTGTAGATCTGGATAAGTTTGGATTTCTCGCGCTTGCGGGCGCTCACCTCCTCGGTGCGAAACCGTTGCAAATCGCTTAGTAGACGCTTCATCTCTATGAGGGTGGGCGGGAAGGAGCGCTCCTGCAGATAGGCAGTCTTCTCGCGGCACCAGTAGATGAACTGCTGTGCCAGGTCGCGGTATTCATGGACGCGACGTTGTGACTCCATGTCGAATAGTGGATGAATAGAGGGTGGCTCCGGGAAAACATCGTACAGCGATGAGATGTACGTGATTAGGGACTTTTCATCCGGCTCGTTGGTGTCGACATCTAGGAGCGAGTATTGATCATTAGAAACATCACAGAGTATGGATTAAGGGGTTAACTTACCCTCGGGATCCAGCAGTCGCGTCACTCCGTACTCCTTCTCCACAATGTGGAAGGCCGTCTCAAGGCGCTCGCGCGGCCGATCGTTCCTTGCCTTTCGCCAGTCAAGCAAGTCCGGTCGGTTGCGGTGCACCAACGCCGAAAAGGCCAATCCATCCCGCCACGAGGACGTGAAGTCGTTGACACGCACGCCCGGATACCGCGCAGTCGAACGACGCGCCCAGCGCAGCAGTGCCTCCCGAGCGGATACGTTGTCCTCCTTGCCCACAACAATATCGGAGATCTTTGGGAGAGCGGCGTAAGAATTATTAGTAAGTATGTAAGGGTTATGTTATATTAAGAAAATAAGTCATTAATTGGATAGATCTTGAAATGGAGCAAAACTTCAGTTTTCCAAAGCTAAAAATTAGGCAAGACTGCGGTCTGTAGTACCCATTGCGAAGTCCGCTTTTTACCTCTCTGCGCTGAGTGGACGACTCAATGGCCGGTGGCAGAGCACGGCGGTACTCCAGCTCCGAACTCCGAATCATTTTAGCTGGGGGCAGCAGATCCTCGGCGGGTTGAGCGTTCTCCTCCGCCCGACTTAAAGTAGTCACTTTCCGGACAATATGCGTGGTCACACGTCGATGGCCATTCGGTGCCCGTTGCGAGGTTTTAGTGCTCTCCACGCTGGAGCCCAGAACCTCTGTGGAGATGCGTTTATTCCTCGTCACCTGTTGATAATGGGCGGAGGATGAATCACTTCCACTTTTCGGGACCAAGGCTCGACTTTCCGAAATGCGACGGGAGTTGCCTGCGGGATCTTGGAAGGTCACAGTTCGCTCGAAGTTGGTTCGATCGTGTGGAACGCTTCCCAGGGGAGATATACCAGGATAGTCCGTGATCACCGCTTCCACAGTTCGCTCCCTCTTCGTCTCATGTCGATACTGCAGGCTAGAGTCATCGATATTGGTGGTTATCGCTGGACCCCGCGACAAGTGGACCACCTCAGATCCGCTGCTCAGGACATCGCCTGCGTCGCCATTCGTCTGCCGCACCAGTTGCTGTGTGCGTTTCATCGTCGATTGCGAGCTGGAGTGCATGTTGTTGCAGTAATCGGACTGTTATAGCAGTACACGCACTGCTATCGCAGTTATCGCCGCGCTATCGACGGTTTCGTTTGTTTCACTTTATTTCGTTTCGTTTCGTTGTTGGGTTCGTTAGAAAATCGTTTTGTCGCGTTGCTTTTGCACCGATTTTCGTAATTCTGAGTGACTTTCAAAATAAGCAGAATTATTTGCCGATCCGCACAATTTGAGTTTAATTAAGAAAAAACTAAAGCCAAAGTCAAATCCCAAACCGGCACCGGATGTCTGGTTCTACCGTAGCATTGCCCTAGACTTTTTTCAGAAACCCCACCGTGAACTGAAGCAGAGTTAAATTAACTGAACAGAGCCGAGCTGGAGTCAAGTTTTACAAGTAAGGGTGTATGGGGTACGTGGAGGAGCACCATTGTTGTTGCAAATTTATTATTGTGTTGTAGGTACACATAATTATCTCAGCTGCCTGTCTGTCTTGCTCTTGGAGCTATTCGTTGCTTCTTTTGCACCCGTGTTTTTTTTAAAACATATTCACAGCAAAAAGTTAATGCTTACCGCTGATTCATAGGCAGAGATTCATTAGTTTCGGAACACGCAAAGCTATTTTGCATAGAAAAATTGAGAGAGGAACGGTATGGTAATGAAACAGGGAGTACAAGTATATTTATCTATTGTTTTAGGGCTTACATTTTTACTATAGAAAGTAAACCGAAAAACTACGTCTATGGGTAATTTATCCATATACATACATCATTCAAATTGATGACAGATTGTTTAGAGGGCCACTACGTAATAAAGATTGCAAGAAGTTTTGGGGCTTCGTGTTTAAAGTTTTGTTATCTTAAATTGCTTAAAATTGACTAATTTGTAGAACTTATAGTTGACCAATTATGTTATCGCAGGCGGACAAAAATGTTTAATATAGTTAGAATAATGACTCGTAAAAAAAAATACATAATGTATATGAATTTATTTTGCATTACGAAAGCTCAAAAATATTTTGGGGTGTATTTAGGGTATATTTAGGGTTAAAAAGCAATAATAATTAAAGAACAGTAATATAATAAATAAGATATATCCTTACGATCAATTATATAATAGTATTGCTAAAATTAAAAATTAAATTATTTTATTTATACGGCAATATAACTTTCGCAACTCACATTTTAAACAAACAAACCAAATTTGAGCAAATATTTAAGGTTTATGTAATCAAAATAAACTTTTCTAATTTTGTAAGGGGCAAAGTATTCGCAAGTGTTACAAATTGACGGAGGAACAGTGTGAAAAGATAACTAGGAATAAAATAAGACAAAATAAAAGAATATTTTTTTATTTCCCCTTACTGATAGATTATTCTTCATCAGGATCATCTAGTCGATCTAGCCATTTCTGTCCTTCTGTCTGTCTGTAGCAACGTCGAGATCTCGGGACTTAAATATGTGTATTTGTACCAATAATAGGTCGTCACGCCCACTATAATTGCACCTCTCTGCAGTGTTCCGCGGATATCTAATTGATGATGGCTTAAAATGACAGCTAAAGAGCGGCTTGTTTTCCACATATGCAAAAATGACGAAAACCCTCAAAAAAAACTTAACCTCTTAAGGGTTGCTATTGTGCAGAGCGAGGGTAAACCGGTAATATTTATATAATACAAATATTATTACTTTATTTATTGAAATAAAAGCGAAAAAGAAATCTCTAGATTAATATAAATGGCTGAAGATCAATAAAAAGCTGTTCAGTCCAAAAAGATCGCCCACCCACCAAAAAGCACGACACAAATGTTTATATTTCATTGGTAATGGAGCTCTGACTTTAACTGGAGGTTGTTGCTGCGTTTTACGCCTGCGCAGCACCGTGACCAACAAATACACATATCACCATTCACATCCCCACAAAATGCTAATTGCAGCGTTTTAAGCACACTATAAACGATCTGCGTTGTTTTTATGTGATTAGGCCAAAAAACAGAGAAATAAGAAAATACCTGGGGCCCGAACAGCTCAAAAAAGTGTCTGTGGAGGCGTCTCACAGAGGCGTCAATGGCTTGACATTCTCAATGAGTATTTTGAAAGGTGGCAAAGCTCTACTGGTCTTTGCCTATTTGGGCTTTTTGGCTGGCTACCGTTTTATGTTTTGAAAATGGATGATTTTCAAAGTTGCTTGCCAACTTGCATTGCTCAACGACAAGGAGCATGAATTAAAATAATTTTCGGATCTCAAAGTCATAAGACAAAAATAATAATTACAAATTTAAAAAAGAAAGGAAAGCTAACTTCGGGCGGAGCCGAAGTTGAAATACTGCAGAATATTCTGCAAATTATTTCAAAATATTCATAATGCATTCTTAATACTCATAAAAATCCCAACTTCCTAACTTTAAAAACACCAAAGTTATGGCATTTCAATCGTTCAGTTATATGGCAGTTATAGAATATAGTCGGCCGATCCTTATGAAATTTGATATGTCGGATTGATTAGGCAAAAATAAAACCCATAGAAAATCCCAACTTCCTAACTTAACAAACACCAAAGTTATGGCATTTCCGATCAATCAGTTATATGGCAGCTATAAGATATAGTCGGCCGATCCTTATGAAATTTGGTACGTCTGATTGATTGGCCAAATATAAAACCCATAGAAAATCCCAACTTCCTAACTTTACAAACACCAAGTTTGGCATTTCGATCAATCAGTTATATGGCAGCTATAAGATATAGTCGGCCGATCCTTATAAATTTGGTACGTCGGATTGATTGGCCAAATATAAACCCATAGAAAATCCCAACTTCCTAACTTTACAAACACAAGTTTGGCATTTCCGATCAATCGTTATATGGGCTATAAGATATGTCGGCCGATCCTTTGAATTTGGTACGTCGGATTGATTGGCCAATATAAACCCTGAAGTCCCAACTTCCTAACCTAACAACGCGAGTTATGGCATTTCCGATCAATTTATATGGCGCTTGGTATGTCCATCCCGGCCGTTCCGACTTATATACTGCGTAAGGTGTGTGAGTTTCAATTCGTTCTTTAAAACTAGAGACTTTCCGTAGACGCGACGGACGACGACGGACGCGGACCGGCGCGGCTGGCTATATCACTCGTATCCTTCTTTTCTTTTGGTCGATCCCTTCTTCCTTTTATTTATCCCTCTGTATAATTATATGTGGACAAAAAATTATAATCAAAAAATTTTCTTGATATTTATAGGACTTCTCTTATTTGGTTTTGGGAACTTGGGAACAAATATGTATAACTAAAAACACAGCTAAAAACAAGAAAGGAAAGCTAACTTCGGGCGGAGCTATCAACTTCGGCTACACCCTTGCAGAATATTCTGTAAATTATATTATCCAAAATCGGATCGGTTGGCCAAAAATAAAACCCATAAAAAATTTCAACTTCCTAACTTTAAAAACACCAAAGTTATGGCATTTCCGATCAACTGAACGATATGTCAGCTATTGGATATAGTCGACCGATCCCGGCCGTTCCGACTTATATTCTGCGTGCAAAGGAACGAAGGGTGTGTTTCAATTCGATTTCTTTAAAACTGAGAGAGTAGTTCGCGTTGAAACAGACAGACAAAATTATAATACCCTCTGCAAGGGTATAATAATACTAAATCTCTTGGTAAAGTCTTTTATTGTTCAGATTAAGTGTTGAATATTAATGTAAGTAATGAAGTATCAACAAATAAGATAAGAAAAACAAAAGGAAAACAAAACAAAAATAAAACCATCTTTAAAACACCAAATTACGATAAATAGTCTGAATCACAATTTCGGGGATTTTTTATAACAATTAATAAGACATCCCCAAACAACGAGAAAAACAATAAACCATTTGAAGAGAGCGTTAAAAATTGCAAAATAAAATACAAGGCACACACACTCAGAAAACAGTGTTTTTCAAAACTACGAACTGGAACAGCGGCGAATAAACCGAGACTGAAACGAGATGGAACCGGGGGGCCGCGAGATCAGCAAGGGGTGTACGTCATCATTTTACAGCTACTTGACTCCATTAGGGGGGCATTTTGTTTGCAAACAAACGAATGAATTGTAACAAACCGCTCTTTGGTAATAAACTCGTCATAAAAAATAATTGAAATGGAACTCAATTGCGAGAGATTGAAATCAATTGAAATTGGCGGCATTTAATAAATCAGAAACCAGAGCGGTCATGAAT